TATATTAGGCCTGGGAATATAACACAATTACCAGAATGCAAACAAGTTCTAAATTATGAACTAAGTGTAAATTATATCATATACTTTATGGCCATTTGACATTCAAATCATCATTGATAGATCAGACATTATAGGTTTATATTAGCAGAGATGGTTGTGTAATGAAGTGCCTGTCCTAATAAATAGAATCCCTACATCATCACATTTCAACAGGTTGAATTTTCTTCCTATATTAAATTAGCCTACTTTGTAACATTGTCACATCAGCACAATGTTACATTGTCACATCAGCACAATGTTACATTGTCACATCAGAAATGTTGACCGAAGTTCCTTAATAACCATATATTCAGAACCAGGTTATATTGTCACATCAGCAATATCAACTTGTGTTCCTAACCATATAAAGATCTGGATTAAATTGTCACATCAGCAATGTTGACTGAAGTTCCTAACCATATAAAGAACTATGTTATATTGTCACATCAGCAATGTTGACTGAAGTTCCTAACCATATAAAGAACTGGGTTATATTGTAACATCAGCAATATCGGCTGAAGTTCCTAACCATATAAAGAATTGGGTTATATTGTCACATCAGCAATATCGGCTGAAGTTCCTAACCATATAAAGAACTGGGTTATATTGTAACATCAGCAATATCGGCTGAAGTTCCTAACCATATAAAGAATTGGGTTATATTGTAACATCAGCAATATCAGCTGAAGTTCCTAACCATTTAAAGAACTGGGTTATATTGTCACATCAGCAATGTTGACTGAAGTTCCTAACCATATAAAGAATTGGGTTATATTGTAACATCAGCAATATCAGCTGAAGTTCCTAACCATTTAAAGAACTGGGTTATATTGTCACATCAGCAATGTTGACTGAAGTTCCTAACCATATAAAGAATTGGGTTATATTGTAACATCAGCAATATCGGCTGAAGTTCCTAACCATATAAAGAATTGGGTTATATTGTCACATCAGCAATGTTGACTGAAGTTCCTAACCATATAAAGAATTGGGTTATATTGTCACATCAGCAATGTTGACTGAAGTTCCTAACCATATAAAGAATTGGGTTATATTGTAACATCAGCAATATCGGCTGAAGTTCCTAACCATATAAAGAATTGGGTTATATTGTCACATCAGCAATGTTGACTGAAGTTCCTAACCATATAAAGAATTGGGTTATATTGTAACATCAGCAATATCGGCTGAAGTTCCTAACCATATAAAGAATTGGGTTATATTCCTCTGAACTCCTATTTTGAATGTTTTTTGAAAAATTTAGCACTTGCTTCTTCAGATGTTTCATTCTTGTTGTGTCCAATAACCAAGAAATTTGATTTATACATTTTGTCAAGTCATAGTACTGAGTTATAATTTTTTTCTACTTTGTCAAACATGAAATCAGAAACTTTTCATCTTAAAATTTTACAGATTGAATTGACAATATTATAATATATAAAGTGGTATAATATTTTTATCCTTCAAATGAAACATTATCAATGTTGTGGGTGGATTTATTTCACATCACAGTACAAATTACAAAACATACCATAGTCTCCACTTACTATAGTGATAAAAATGAGTGTTTGAAAAGTTTGTATTGTTGGTCAAATTCATTTGATGATTTTAGATTTATTTGTCTTAGTCATGCTGTAATGAATCAGATATTTAACTATAAGTCAGACATTCAAATATAAGATATTCAACAATAAGACATTCAACTATTAGATATTCAACTATAAAATATTCAGCTATAAGATATTTAACTTTAAGATATTTAACTATTAAATATTTTACTAGTATATATTTAACTATAATATATTCAACTATAAGATATTCAACTTTAAGATATTCAACTATAAGATATTTAAAGATAAGCTATTTAACTATAAGATATTTAACTATAAGATATTCAACTATAAGATATTTAACTATAAGATATTCAACTATAAGATATTCAACTATAAGATATTTAACTATAAGATATTCAACTATAAGCTATTCAACTATACGATATTTAACTATTAGCTATTTAACTATAAGATATTTACTATAAGATATTTAACTATAAGATATTCAACTATAAGATATTTACTATAAGATATTTAACTATAAGATATTCAACTATTACATATTCAACTATAAGATATTCAACTATAAGATATTCAACTATAAGATATTTAACTATAAGATATTTAACTATAAGATATTTAACTATAAGATATTCAACTATAAGATATTCAACTATAAGATATTTAACTATAAGATATTCAACTATAAGATATTTAACTATTAGATATTTAACTATAAGATATTTAACTATAAGATAAACTTGTCTATAAATATTATTCCTCTCATTCAGGTATATTGTATAGAGACTATTGCCAGTGGTCACCTTATGTTTTACTTGGCTGAAATTTTCAACATTTCTAAGCTTGCACGATTGTTCACAGTACTGGACAAACATGGCAACAAAATGAAATTTATCGTTCATCCAATAACGTCTATCACACTTAACCAAATTGTTATCTAATTCTGCTATAATATGTAATAAACTGCCAGGTTATATGAATTATAGAGTGGCATGTTCATTGGTCAAGTTGTGATATATAGTAAAATATTCATTATTTAAATGACACAAGCTTCAACATAAATGATTAGATAGACAAATTTTTTATGTTATCTTTGAATTCAAAGTAATTTAGATAAGATATGAAATTTCAGTATTTGTTTATTTAACAAATTTTACATACTTTGATTAAAGTTTAGCCATGTATGTTCAAACCCCATCTGGGGCAAACTGTTGTTTCCTTCAGCAAGAAACTTTATTCACTAATTTCTGAGTACTGGTTGGTTCCAGAAACAGATCTGAGGAAGCTATAAGGTTTTAGAAACACTCAACACAATTGAACTGTATAAACTATTTCAAGTTTGTTTTGTAGATAAATAAAGGATTTTGTGGTTTTATGTGAAGTGCTCTTATCACATTTAAATTGTTTCACATTATTATAGCTCAAGGTCAAACTTCATATACAGTTTTAATACAATATTTATAATCTTATTTTCTATGAAAACATTTTGTTAGTTTTTTAAATAGTACACAATAAATGATTTATTTTTACCTCCAGACAGCTTATTGTGTAATTATACTATGAACGATATAGTATATATTTCATTGAGATATTTTAGAAGTGTTTGGTCTTTTATGACTTTACTATTTTTTTATCAGAATTTCTCTACTTGTAGTCACTGTTTAAAATGACATTGGTGGTCAAAAATAATTATTTTGTAGTATTATAATTTTTGCTGAGATTTCTTTTTTCTTTTTTTGACAGCATTGTACTGTTACCATTTTACTTATGTATTAAAATTTCAAAAACTGTACAATGAGGTTGTTTTCATGGTCATTTAATCAAGTTTAAAGAGAGATTTTATCAACATACCAACAAAAAATTAATATTCTACTGTTTAAAGATGAAATAATAAAGCTTTTATCTTATAACTTAAAATAATTTAAATTATTTAGAGAGTGGCTGAAATTTTGTGCAGGAGTTCTGAATTGTTAAATTTCCTTTCAAAGTACAAAAAGTGTATGTAAGCTTAAAGTCATCATTCATATATGACCTTTTGTGTTATTTTAAAATCAATGTTAAACAAAAATATAAGTTATAAATAATGAATAATGTGTAGACAGAAGAAATTTGTATTTTTGAAGTTAATTAGTAGTCTGTTGCCAATTTATCTAAAACATTTAATGCAAAACAAATAATATTTTGGCAGAAAGAAAAAAAAGGGTCACAAAGTATTTGTCAGAATTAATGAAAATAATTTTTCAGAAGTTAATAATATGGTTTTGAAAAGTCCATCAACATGTGATAATGGCAATTTTCTCTCATACAATTTGTTTCCTTATTTTCTACTGAAAACATACTTGTGAGAATATTTTTGACAGAGTAACAGTTGTTTAAGAGTTTGTATGGTCTTGTGGGACATTGTCTGGTACTTCTTTACTGTTTTGGCGCAATCACTATACAGAATGTTCTGACACACGTTGGCATCAGCCATATTTTACAGCACGATTTACATAAATTTGTGTGAAAACTTGGGTCTATTAGCATAATTTTATGACGTTTTTAGAATCATTAAATATCCATTGTTAATTTATCAATGTTTTTTTCTGATAATAATGTTTCTCAAACCATTTATCTCTGATCAAACTTTATAGGAATGTTCATTCAGAGTATTTGACATGAAGGTCATTGTTGTATAATTAAGACAAAATCAAGAACATTAAAAAATTTGCCACATGAAAAAACTGGCTAGATTTCAGAATTTTCATGATAATGTGATAACCCTTAAATTTATCTTATCTGTTTGGAAGAATATTTGTAGTTTTGAAATATGTATGGCTGTATGCAAGAGAATTGCATAAAAGAGCACATTTACTTAAACATGTTCATGTGATAACTGTTAAGGTGTGATGATTTGTTCTTTGACCTTTTTGCACTTCTATATAATTGTACTATATCAATATTAAATTATTCAGCATCTGCCAGTGAAGGTTCAAATCTGGCTATTTCCAAGGTGCCTTTGTTGTACCTGAAATAAAGTTAACACTGTACCTTGTATCTTATAACTTCTAAACCTGGAATATGGCCATCATGACATTTTACACAGACATTTTGATGTGATCTGTGCATTGTGAATTCTATAAATTAATCAGTTAATATTAAAGTAATATAGATAATGTCAGCAATAGAGAGCCACCATGACCCAATTAGTCTAGTCATTGTAATTAACTAATTGATAAATAGGAATTTTCTGTAATAAGGGAAAGTAAGATAATTGCTGGTACTTTATGCCTTGGTCTAACCACAAGCTTTATACAATGAGAAATATTAAGTTGGCGATGATGATTATTTGAACTTTAAATATTATACGATATACTTTTAAAAAACTGTATTGTTTATACATTTCAGCTGCTAAGTGAAGAGTTACTGAAGTATGCCAACAACTTGCTGGCCCTGAATGGCAGCTGTCTAACATTCCTTGAGAAAGCTTACACAAAACTTGTACATGTACTAGATGTAAATGGAAAAATACCGGTGAAAAAGTAAGTGTTTGTAGCTGTGCATGATGTTAATAATAAATGGTCAAAAATGAGTTAAAAAATTGGAGGACCAGAGACTAGTGACACAAGAATGTACATCTATGCAGTCTAACAAGATCATTGCTTAGGCTGTATATTTTTTTTGTCATGACCCTCTTTGTTGGCATTGGTGTCAGAGATGCCCATATTTACTTCGTTGATGTTTAAATGAATACCTTTGTATGGAGATTCATTACAGTTTTTATAAAGATAAATTGTAAAGATGCAGAGTCACTATTGTTTCTGGTTTGTTCATATTTCATGAAAGGAGATCCTTTTCTTGTAGTAGTGAGGAAGAGTTCACTAAATTTTGAAGATGATGTATTGTGTAGCACTTTTGAATGTTCTGGCATAGAGTTTGCTTGGGGGCTTTGCATTAATTAATATACTTGTAAAGCTCTCAAGTTGTCCATTTACTTACCTAGAGCTCCCTTATACATCCTTTTGTTTGAAATTCGACATTGCTAACTAACTTTATTAATGTTAGTTGTTATTATGCAATGGTTGCTGTAAAAAAAAAACCCTTGTTCTTTATACATTATTTCCTCTCCTGCTAATGGCAACTGAATCTATGTATAGGACCAGTGCAGACCCAGGTCAGCTGTCGCAGTCGGATCATGGTCTGCATGGTCTTATTGGCTATTCAGTCAGTACTTGTTTTGAAAATGTCTTTAAAAAGTGATGAATGGTTTTGATGAGATATTAACATGTTAAGAGGTAATAATACTTTGAAATGTGCAAAGGGAACTGTATAAAAAGCACTAGTATATACATTAATTTCATTATTCTGTTTAACCCTAAGGTTTAGGATTGTTTCCCTCATATAGACATGGTTAATTAAGTCCTTGTTTCCAATATTAATTGATCTATCATTTAACCATGATAGGAATAAAGTGATATTGTATAATTAACTAGATTTTACATTTATTGTTTTCTGTTGCTTTTATTTTTGGCATTATGTGGTTTTCTTATGCATTTTCCATGGTATTTATCAAATTGAAGCACTAAACAGTAGAATTGCACCTCTTTGACTTAACAATTTGAAGGGTGAAAGTTTTGGTAGGGTAGTATGGTTAAAGAAACTTCATATATGGCTTTATACTGTCCTTATCAAGTTTTTGGTCCTAAGATAATCCAGTTTTAATGTTTGATGTGTTATGACAGGTGGTATCAGTTCTAGGTACTGTCAACATTTATATGATGATGATGTACCAATTTAAACATTTGTTGTCCTAATGTTGACCTGTAATTGATAGTGAAACATTATAATAGGTTAGTGAGTGATGTTATTATACAGCAGTGGTTGGCACATTTTCTTCTCTAACAATGTGCTGTCTATAGATAATCAATACTCAAGCTTGGCCAACCTCACTTATCCTAGCTTGTTTTCCACACCCCGCCCACTGGAGATCTGATATTACAACTTGATTTATGTGTCTCACAGATTCTTCCCTAAACATAGTTCATGTGTAAGGAAGAATTATATGCTAATATCCTTCTTTACCAGATTCTCTATAACAGTGATACTTCCACTGATTTCTTGTCTCTAGTTTTATCATGACATTTTCAAATAATCGGTGCTTGATTTTTATGCTCTTTGATAAAAATTATTGGAGCATGTAGTTGACAGTTTGTCTGTTTGTCTATCCTTCCATCCATCTTTCATTAACATTTAATTATCATTTTTCATAGCTTATTAACCAGGTTTTCCGAAGGAAAAAACTGGTTATTAGATTGAGGTATGTCGGCGGGCGGGCGGGCGGACGGGCGGGCGGGCGGGCGTAAACAATTTCTTCTGTGCGCAACTCCTCCTACAATTCTCAACGGATTTTGACCAAACTTTCACAGAAGCTTTGTCATCAAGTGCCCTGGCGCATATTGTCGGGGTTTTGCGATTAGATAATATTTGACCTAATTATGGCCCTTTGTTTTTTTTCCTTATATAAAATATATAGTGAACAATTTCTTCTGTGCGCAACTCCTACATTTCTCATCGGATTTTGACCAAACTTTCTCAGAAGCTTTGTCATCAAGTGCCATGACACATATTGCCAGGGTTTTTGCAATTGGTATATATTTGACCTAATTATGGCCCTTTGTTTTTTTTCCTTATATAGAATATATAGTGAACAATTTCTTCTGTGCGCAACTCCTCCTACATTTCTCAACGGATTTTGACCAAACTTTCTTAGAAGCTTTGTTATCAAGTGCCTGGCACATATTGTTGGGGTTTTGTGTTTGGATAATATTTGACCTAATTATGGCCCTTTGTATATTTTCTTATACAGAATATATAGAGAACAATTTCTTCTGTGCGCAACTCCTCCTACATTTCTCAACGGATTTTGACCAAACTTTCACAGAAGCTTTGTCATCAAGTGCCCTGGCCCATATTGTCCGGGTTTTGGGATTGGATAATATTTGACCTAATTATGGCCCTTTGTTTTTTTTCCTTATATAAAATATATAGTGAACAATTTCTTCTGTGCGCAACTCCTCCTACATTTCTCATCGGATTTTGACCAAACTTTCTCAGAAGCTTTGTCATCAAGTGCCATGACACATATTGCTAGGGTTTTGCAATTGGTATATATTTGACCTAATTATGGCCCTTTGTTTTTTTTCCTTATATAGAATATATAGTGAACAATTTCTTCTGTGCGCAACTCCTCCTACATTTCACAACGGATTTTGACCAAACTTTCTCAGAAGCTTTGTCATCATGTGCCCTGACACATATTGCCAGGGTTTTGCAATTGGTGTATATTTGACCTAATTATGGCCCTTTGTTTTTTTCCCTTATATAGAATATATAGTGAACAATTTCTTCTGTGCTCAACTCCTCCTACATTTCTCAACGGATTTTGACCAAACTTTCTTAGAAGCTTTGTTATCAAGTGCCTGGCACATATTGTCGGGGTTTTGTGATTGGATAATATTTGACCGAATTATGGCCCTTTGTATATATTTTCCTTATACAGAATATATAGAGAACAATTTCTTCTGTGCTCAACTCCTCTTACATTTCTCAACGGATTTTGACCAAACTTTCTTAGAAGCTTTGTTATCAAGTGCCTGGCACATATTGTCGGGGTTTTGTGTTTGGATAATATTTGATAGAATTATGGCCCTTTGTATATTTTTTCCTTATACAGTATATTATAGTGAACAATTTCTACAGTGCGCAACTTCTCCTACATTTCTCAATGGATTTTGACCAAACTTTCACAGAAGCTTTGTCATCAAGTGCCCTGGCGCTCACTAAATTCCCATGTTTCTTCCAAAACATCATTCAAGTTTTTTTTTTAAATTGTGAACATACTTTTCTTGATATCACACAAAACACCACACGCCAATATTGTTGACAAAAGAAAATGACAAGAGACGCAAAAATGCAAAAATTAAGCAAAAATAAAGTACTGTTTACCTTTCTAAAACATTTGGGAAAAAAAGGCGAATAGACAACATAAAATTTCTCAATCATTTTTGTTTGAGGAATACTAAAAAAGCCATAATTCCTCCTAAAAGTTTAATTAAAAACAAATGCCCCTTCATGACAAAGCTTCTGTGAAATATTTTGCTGAAAACCTGGTTGCATCGCATTGCGATGTTCCTTGTTTATTTAATTAATTGATATGTTCAATAAATATTTGGTGTTTTGTATCTTCTGTACATAGGGTTTCATGTGGGTTTGATGAAGGTCAAGTCTTATGTTGTCATAAAGTAAGGCAATGTTGTTAGTTCTACCAACTTTAGCTACTGGGTAAAGCAATCGTAAATATTCAAATAGTTTTACATGCATTGTTTGTAATGGAGCTGGTCTTAAATAATGATCAATATGTATGTTTTAATACTTAGTTAATCTTTGAATTATTGTCTGTAACATGTTTAATGGTGTAGTGGCATGTAACTGTTCACAAATTAAGGTATTAGATGTGTAAGAGGTAGGATATCTCAGTCAGTAGAATGTGATATGATAGTCCAAGGGTTCTGCATGAGTCCTGGTCAGGCTGCACATTTTTCTCCCTGTGAGATTTGTGTCGATGGACCATGACAATATAAAACCCCAAATCAATTCATTAGAAATTGGAGAACAAATTTCAATATAGATAGTATAGAACTGTTCACTGATTTTGGGAGATGTGTAAGCGCAATAGCTCAGTCTGTAAATCTGTGGAATGGTAGTATTCTGGCAATTCTGCATCTGAGTTCTGGTCAGGCTGCACATTTTGCTCATTCTGTTATTTAAGTTAATGTTTCAATAATTGTTTGTTAAATGTTTAGCTTGGAAGAAACATGTCTGAAAACTTCGTATATAGAACTAGTGTCTTGGTTGATTGATACAGTAATATACACTTGCTATACATTTTATGGTTCTATATGAACATATATATAGCAAGATTTGTATTTACTCATAACATTACCATGTAGGCAATATTTGTTTGTTGATAGCTGATAATTATATAGACATATATAACAATTTTAAAAGAGCAACATCCTTTTTGTTCTCATAAATGCTGTTTATAAAACTGTGATGTTGGAGGAAGTAGATCAATCAATAGATGAATATAATTTATGTATTTATATATCACTGTTTTATATAGATATCAGGGTTTTATGTATCACTTTGAGGCTTTTCAGATGAAATAAAGTAAGATAAACTTTCATATCATTTCACTTTCAAGGAAAATTTTTTTATGCTCCCCGAAAAATTTTGGGGGAGCATATAGTCGTCGGGTTGTCTTTCACAGACATGATCACCATATTGAGACGACGTGTCGCGCGCAACATTTGGGTCGCTACCTTGAAGTTCAAGGTCACAGCATGACCTTGCAGCTAAATCGTGTCCGGCCCATTACTTTGTTATTTGAAGTCGGATTTTAAAACTTTTTCACAGAAATGATCACCATATTGAGACGACGTGTCGCCACAACATTTGGGTCGCTACCTTGAAGGTCAAGGTCACAGCATGACCTTACACCAAAATCGTGTCCGGTCCATAACTTCATTATTTGAAGTCGGATTTCAAAAATATTTCACAGAAATGATCACCATATTGAGACGACGTGTCGCGCACAACATTTGGCTCGCTACCTTGAAGGTCAAGGTCACAGCATGACCTTGCAGCAAAATCGTGTCCGGCCGATTACTTTGTTATTTGAAGTCGGATTTTAAAACTTTTTCACAGAAATGATCACCATTTTGAGACGACGTGTCACGCTCAACATTTGGGTCGCTTCCTTGAAGGTCAAGGTCACAGCATGACCTTGCAGCAAAATCGTGTCTGGTCCATTACTTTGTTATTTGAAGTCGGATTTTAAAAATATTTCACAGAAATAATCACCATATTGAGACAATGTGTCGAGCGGAACATGTTGGTCGCTTCCTTGAAGGTCAAGGTCAAAGCATGACCTTGCAGCAAAATCGTGTCCGGCCCATAACTTCGCTATTTGAAGTTGGATTTAAAAAGTATTTCACAGAAATGATCACCATATTGAGACGGGTTGCTACCTTGAAGGTCAAGGTCACGGCCTGACCTTACAGCAAAATCGTGTCCGCCCATAACTTGTTACTGGAAGTGGGATTTAACAACTATTTCACAGAGATGATCACCATATTGAATCGACGTGTCGCATGCAACATTTGGCTCGCTACCTTGAAGGTCAAGGTCACAGCATGACCTTGCAACAAAATCATGTCCGGCGCATAACTTCGTTATTTGAAGTTGGATTTTACAACTATTTCACAAAAATGATCACCATATTGAGGCAATGTGTGGTGCACAATATTTGAATTGATTTTACAATATGAACTTTGTCTGTGACATAACTCTGACACAACAAGAGGTATACCTTCCTGTGGCCAAAACCTATTCGGGGAGCATCACCCGGTTCAACCGGCTCTTGTTTCCAGTATAAAGTTATGAGTTTTTATTTTAGAATAAGGATGCATGCCTGTAGGAGTCACTTTCTGTGACATTATAAATTTTATATATTCTATAAACCATACTGGTTGTGTATTTATTCTGCCAGGCATGGTAATTTTCTTCCACTTAGTTAGCTATCCAGTTATTTTAGGGAAGCCTTTGCCAGAAATAATGCACAGAATATTTTGGCACCTGAGGTCTTTCTTGACTGTTTAAAGGTAGAAAGTTGAAATTTTGACCTTAACAGACTGCGTCCATGTGATTTAAAGAGCAAACCAGTAAAAAATAAGAAAACCTGACTGATGATTCAATATTTATTAAATGTTAAAAAAACGAGCTTGACTGTACTAAAAGGTATTCAGTTATAACATATTGCAGCATTGGACAATCACATATGAGAAATTGTCTGATCTTAATTATTTCATCATTAGTCATTTGATTATTAAGTGGTTGTTAATTTGAGATTTGATTTTCCAACCGTAGTAGAAAAACATGTAGACTTCATGATTTCTTTTTATATTCACTACTTTAAATTTATAATATATTTATTTGTTACAGTATTATAAAGATGATAACTAAGGACAATAAAGATGATAGGAGGCGTGTTGAGAAAGCTATAGAGGCAACGGGATTCAAAGCTTCAAAAGTTAGTACTTTACCTATAACTTAATTGGAAATCATTATTTTACTATTGATTATCAGCCTTAAAGTAACATCCTATTATAGGATTACTCAATTCACTTTACAAGACACAAGGTTTTATTATTGAGATTTAAATGTAACATGTTCTGTGGTTGTTTTTGCAATGTTCTACATTTGAGTTTTGTTACATTGTACCATAGAACGTTATTTTGGAAGGCAATAATTGACCTTCTTATGTTATCTATTCTCCTTGCATATAGCCAAGAACAATAATACCCACGTATACACATAACAATGTAGTTTTATGCCATTCAGCTAAATCATAACACAAAAAAAACTCTAAAAATATATACAGAGTAATCAGTGTTTTGTGAAACATCTTTTTCTTGCATTTCAATTAAATACTTTAAAACATCATTTAGTCTCATAGAATATTACTGTATTTGATATATTTAGTTTGTAGTTGCGTACAAAGCGTTTGTCTACTTAGAATATTAAACTATCGCATCAGTTACTCCCCCTGATCAGGACAGGTAGCCTAACATGACATTGTCACTGTGACAAGTTCATCAAGAATGACTCTTCTCAGACTTATTTTTGCTCTAAAAATATGGGTCATCAAGTGAAAATTATAAAGAATGATAAATTATATTTCAAAATTATATAATAACTTTCCATCTATTATTTTATGTACTTACAGGTATATGTAAGTTTCTGTTAAAGATGTTAATTTAAGGAAGAAAAATTGTGAAAAATACTGTATTAATTTGTGGAGAATAATTGCAATAAACAGCCATTATCAGATTGTAGTTGAAATAACTTCATTTCAGGTTTTAAATTTGGTCATAGATTTTTTGTATGATTACATTAGATAACAGTATTGCTTAAAAGTACATAAATTTTCTTCTTGTTGTATTGCTGTTAGTAACATGTTGTTTTGTTTATATTATAGAATGACACAATAGATCCGAACAAGTTCACATTTGATGATTTCTTCATGTTTATATTATAGAATGACACAATAGATCCGAACAAGTTCACATTTGATGATTTCTTCATGTTTATATTATAGAATGACACAATAGATCCGAACAAGTTCACATTTGATGATTTCTTCACAGTATACCGACATCTTGTTGGTCGGACAGAATGTGATAAAGTCTTTGATGAAATGTAAGTGACTTCAATTTAAATGTTGTTTCTTTCATTGTAGCACATTTGAGCCGAGCAATGACAAAACCAACATAATGAGTTTGCGACCAGCATCCGCGCAGTCTGATCAGGATCCATTCTGTTCGCTTACAAACCCTATAACAAGTAGAGAAACTGATAACGAACAGCATGGATCCTGATCAGACTGCGCAGATGCGCAGGCTGGTCTGGATCCATGCTGGTTGCAAACGCATTATGTTAGTTTTGTCATGACGCGACTCATTTGTTTCTGAAATTCTGACAGATAACTATTAGGTATTTAAATTACAGCATGTTTGTAAAAATGTTTGTAATGATGATTGTAATGTTTTCATTGGACAAAATTACGTATGTTGTTTATATTATCTACACACCCAGCAACAACATTTGGGCATTGAAGATTTGTTCCATGTAATGTGGCTGCATATTATATAAAAATAAGATAAAAATAGATATTTGCTATATTATAAGCCTTTCAACTGGGAATATACAGTAACATTTTAAAAGTCTTTATAACTAGTAATATTGTTTACTTGTTATGTGCCAAAAAATTCTGAGTAGTGGCTGTCAAATAAAAGAAGCATACTTCAGCTGGTAGCATTGCTTGTAGAGATGACCAGGTGTAACTGTATTTGAGCCGTGTCATGACAAAACCAACATAATGGGTTTGCGACCAGCATGGATCCAGATCAGCCTGCGCATCCGTGTAGTCTGATCAGGATCCATGCTCTTCGCTATCAGTTTCTTTACTTGTTATAGGGTCTGTAAGGGAACAGCATGGATCCTGATCAGACTGCGTGGATGCGCAGGCTGGTCTGGATCCATGCTGGTCGCAAACCCATTATGTTGGTTTTGTCGTGACATGGCTCATTTATGTTGATATTGTAAGCTTTGCTGGATAGATATACACCTGGGTGAGTTAGTCATGCAAGTTATAAATGACAAACAAACAAACATACAAGGTTACTTCAAAACAGGTTGCTTATAGTGAAAATGAAATAAGATATAGATCTATACATCGTTTTAGGTACACTTTTCATGACATTGTTCATGTATTTTATGGAAGATTGAATTAAATATTTAACTTACAATATATCAATTTTGTAAATCTATTAGAAAATTTAGTACTTTTTTTACATCCAAAATGAAGCAGTGATTTTTTTTCCAATTTTCAAAATAACCTGTGGCTTTCTGAATGGGAAAATAAAGCGCAATAAATCAGAAATGGGGGAAAACCTGAAATCAAATTCCAACAACTGAAAATGAAATTTACCCACACATTTTATGAAAAAATTAATATCAATTAAATTTAACATGCATGGTACATAACGATGGCTATATGTAGGGACAGATTTCTGTCTTCTGGCTGATGTAGGTCATATGCTGTTAAGTAAGGAAGAGCATGAGGCATTTTAGGGGAAAATATTAGCATTTTAAGGGGAAAATATACCTATTTTGGGCTAGGGGAAACAGCCTTTATTCAGCTGTAAAATACAGTGAAAAATCAAAGGGCTGCAAGCCCTGTGGTATTTTCTGATCTTTGCAATCTAAATCATACTGACTATCTGTATGTATTTTCCTATATAGGTTTATTTTTATATACTATAATTCATCTTACGCAGCGAAGGTATTTTGTTCACGATAAACCTGTTTAACACTGATAAAAATAATTTAGCGAAAATCTTCTCGCCAAAACAGTCCGACATGTATATATTCCACTACTCGGCAGTCAGACTTATTTGTATACTTCAGTAATTGACATAGCTAAAAATAGCATTTTCATTGATTAAAATGATATTCATCCGCGAAATTTGTGATTGTAACCTCATATTTCTATTGACTAATCTGAACTTTCAATGCACTGTAATTCGTTAAATGCCTACATTAAAAATTATTCTGTCTTTTAATTTGCTGGTTTTTAAGCAGTTTTGAGTGAGAACTACTTTGCGTTGTTAGGTCTGTTAGGAAATTTTGTGTTAGACTGTGGATGTTAGCTATGTATTTACTGATCTTGCGATCAGAAAATACAAAAATCACTTTGAAGGGTGACAGCATAATTATAATGTAACTATGTACACACTTTGGGAGATTCACCTTTCATAAATAATTATGCTAGTACACTGATATGCCAGAACACTGGTTCAACTGTACTGTAATGTCTCAGAATATTGGTATACATGTACTGCTATATGCCAGTATGCTGGTATAATTATGTACTGTTGCATGCCAATACGCTGGTATACATGTGTACGCTGGTATGCATACTTGTAATATGCCAGTACACTGGTATATGTGTACTGTAATGTAATTAAGAGTTAACCATGTTTTATAACACTATGGTTCAATCTTTCTTCATTTTAATACATAGATTTGATACAAATGTTATCTGGTGCAAGCACTAATGTACAAACACTAATAATGACAAAAATGCAATAAAGACATGTCTATTGTCAAGATTTCATCTCATTTAACATTAATTTAAGGACATTAATATGTCTATGTATAATGCATCATACAGCATTTATTATGTAATAGTAATTTGTCTGTCAAGGTAACATTTTCATGATATAATTTAATAGTTAATATATTATGAAATATTATACATAAAGACAACCAGTGAAATTATGAAAGAGTGTTAGGTTACTATACATCATAGTGTATAATTTCAGCAATATTGAACTGTTTGTTGTTTTGTTTTGTATTGTTGTAAGGCAGATACTTGTACTCTTTGACTGGCTTAATATATGTCAGTGGTTTAGAGCCACACTAGCCTGCACCTCCTTATAGTCTGTCTAAAGGTACTGCTTCGTGATTAATATCTATATGATATGTTGGGTTGTTAGTCACACATTTTATAAACAGCTTTACTGATTAATGAAAATCTAGAATGCCCCCTGTTACATGATTAAGGAACAAGTTGCCACCTGTCAATGATAATCCGCTAATTTTGAATAACTTGCTTTCATTAATGAAAAATTCAATGTATCTGATGGGATTTGAACCTACAGTGCTAAGGGCTTGGTGATTTCAAGTCAGCGACTTTAACCATGAGGCCACAGATGCTTAGAACAGTTATGAAATTAAAGTCTTTTCAATTAAGACTATAAAGCCCTGAATTCAAAGCAGGTGATCAGTTCATCTTAAAAATTTAATGGGATGAAGAACAGGCTTAGATGTAACATATTTTATTATTTTTTCATTTCAGAGGGGCAAAGAAGAAGCCGTATTTAACATCGGAACAATTTGTTAAATTTCTGAACAATGAGCAGCGAGATCCACGTCTGAATGAGATTTTATACCCGTATTACACGCAGAAACAAGCACTTGAGCTAATACACCAGTATGAGACAAAACCCAACATGTCCGCTAAAGGTATACTTCTATCTTTCTAATTACGTACTCGTATATGATAGATAAATATACATATGTATATATATGACATAGGTAGAAGATGACACGATCACTTTTCTCACAGATGTTCTTAAACTGTTTCCCACAAGATCTTTGTTATCACTTATTGGAATGACTTATAAACCATATCTAAATGTTGATTAGTGTTTCATTAATATTAAAAGTTATTTAACCTGTATTTATTACGATTGTAGGTCTCAATATATTTCTATGGTTCATGTTAATATTGTTTAAATACTCTGAACCTTCATTGCAGGTTTTTTCGTTATATTTAAATGAAACAAGAGAAAAATTTTTATATTTAAATGAAACAAGAGAAAAAATTATGCGATTGGCTTTGTCTAATTTATATTAAATTTGGAAGTTTAGTCAAATTGACCAATTTCATTTATTGATTAGATTGATATATTTAGTATAAACTACTGCTTGCTTTAGGTCAATTAAAGGTCTTCAGTAACTGTTAATAACATGTTTCACTTGTTTACAAAGGCTAGAAAAAGAAAATATGTTATTCTTGAATATAGATTAAAGATGGAGTCATTTAAAGTTGAAATGATCACTTTATTTATAAAGAAATGTCAATATTTTATCAAGAGTTGAAGAATTTATATAAAAATAACTTTTATTATCAACAAGTGGTGTTAACCTTGTTTATACCATGATGCATGCCGTAAGCTATGAAATGTGGTACAGGACTAGGTTGTGATTGGTGATGAGCTATGGGGGCAGTGCTAGAATGATTTGCCATGGCTGTGGTGCTAGAATGGTTGTCATGACCGCTGTGCTAGAATGGTTACCATGGCTGCAAGTTGTCCCTGCTTGATCTGGACCAAATTTTGGTTTCACTATACCTATGACACTGACATGTTCATGTACGAACCACTGCTTCTAACCATGTGTCTGGCCGACTTGCTATATATGTGACTGTTCCTGTCAAATTATTTCCCTTGCATGTTATCTTTTGTGAGCACTGATAAGATGATACTTGATTGAATGAATTTAATTGTAAATGTTTTGATTATAAGAAATATATGCACTTATTTTGATTCTTTTCAGAGAAGGGGAGTTGCATAAATGTTAAACTTCTATATATTTCAACACATATTTATAATAAATATTTTCTTTTTGTTTATGCAGCTCCCTTGGCATAAACTTTTCTCTACTGTTCACTTTATGTACACCTGAAGACACTAAGGATGTATTATTGAATGGCATTGTTCGTCTGACTTTCTTTCTGCCAGTAAAAGAGGTCCAGGCAACTGTTAATAGTACTGAGAAAACATTGGGATTCGTTCCGTTACAATAGAATCATGGCCAATTCTACAACTAGAGAAAATAAAATGATTAGCCCACCATTTCCATTCTTTGGAATGTCCCTCCATCTCCTTGTCAGCAGAATAACTTAAAGGATTGAATGATTGTCTTTATATCTGAGCTGCGTTTGTTTGATATGCCAAAACACAGGTTTAATTTGATTTTTGAAATGACTGATTTTTGTAACCTTAAAAATCATCACCTTTCTCCTATACAATGAAAAATTACCTCTCAATTTATGTTTGTGATACTCTGTCGGGTGTGCATTGCATTGCATGTATGAAACTCTTGTAAAAATTTTCAATATTAATCTGTTTAACTACTCCGTTCTGAAGTTAATATTTCAAGATGTTTCATGCCTTTGTCTATTTTGTAAATTCTATTGACTCTTGTTTTTATCTATTCAAAATGTTAAATGCTATAATTAACTATACAGCCACTTGTATTTATGTATACATTTAAGAGAGAGAGAAAAAGGCTATGGTGTATTCTGGAATGTTACTGTATACTTTTCAAGTTATTGAAAATAACATTGTTTTGATTTAAGAAAATAAACTTATTTATATATAAAAAAAGAAGATTTTAATTCATTAAGTGCAGTGCCTAGGGGCCACATATAGCCACACCTTTATTTTCTTGTTGCTAAGATTAATTTTTTGACCTTTAAGATTAATTTTTTGACCTTGAAAATCTGAAATTGATGATCGAAACTTATAACAAAAAGTTATAAAATGAAAAGAAAGTTTCAAGTTCAGTGCATGATTTTAGCATTGAATAGATTGTCTATATCATGTGAAAATATATTTTGGAGAATGATGTTATTTTCAATGACTTTCTGCTATATATGACTGTTATATGACTGAATGTTTTGATCTTTATAAGAACAAAGTAGTTTGGATGAGGGTAAGTATGCATGAGTGACATAGTTTTCATGTGCATGCTACCCAGGAGCTATTCACGCTGTTCACGTGTAGAGTGATTCTCACAGCAGTGTGGATTTCATGACGATAATAGAAACGCTCCTCTGGGAAACTTAGTTATTATATTAAGTTATTTGTTACCATGGAAGCCTGAAACTGTTTTCTATAGTGGGTTATGATTATTTTATTTAGATAAAACTCTCAAAGGTTTTGTATTTCATCTTAAATGTTTTCAAAAAGTAAAGAGGAATCAGCAAGTCTGAAGAGTGAAGTATTTTCCTATTTTGAGAACTTCAACGATTATTACTTTAACAGTTTCTAGGAACATCTCAAGCTGTGAGGTGTCCAGACACAAACAAACAGCGCAAGCAGAACTTTAACACTCTGGCTTAGTTTTAGAATAGACTATTGTTTCTTTATTTATTGGCTATATATGTATAGACAAAAGCTTTTTCTATGTTACTACCAAATCTGAAGCTTCAGGCTTTCAAAACTTTATTTCTTTATGACATATAACAATGTATAGTGTGTTAGTAGCTGATTTGTAGAGTGGTAAACCAAGAAATATAAGTACTGTGCTTAGTTAAATACTTCATTATTTGGTGAAATTTATAAAAACAAAATTAGGAATACATTACTGCCATTTATTGAAGCGAAAATTTAAAAAGTTGTGTTAGAATATATTATATTTGATTGTTTTACTAATATACTTTTTAGTTGATTGTGTTCCATACACTAAATGTGACTACTAAACGAATGTGACTACAACTTCACATAATCAACCAGCAGTGTAATACAGTCTTACATAATTTTCCCTTTTTAATACACTTTCAGTAAATTGCTTTAAAAAATCTAAATAAATTATAGCTATTATTTTTTCCTTATGAATAGTCTAAGCACTCGGTCATTGATACATTGTTATTTCCGGGATATTATTATTAAATTAATATATCTGGATGTATTTATGTCATCTGACAAAAATGTTATTGTCATAGAAAAATATAGATTTATAATAAATAATGATAATGAACATTATAATAATAAACAGTACAGTTTCTTGATTGTCTTGGTAACCACTCAACAATAAAATAGACTAATCAATACCCTCTTTATTTCTAGATATGTGTTTTTAATTTTTTTTTAACCAAACCCACAAGGTATATGACAGTTTTCATTTTGCTTATTTTTATTTTCAGTTATCACACATTATAATTATAGCCATCGCCCATATATATGTTTGTTGTTATATATCATGCTGTAGAATTATTTTTTATTTGATTTTAGTTGGAAATGTGTATAATGAAAGCATAAATGCTGTTCTGTATTGAGCCATGAAAACTAAATTAAAGGCATGTTAGCGTTATATGTGCCATGTCAGCGTGTAAACTATATTACACATTATAGTATATAACACATATGTCATACATATAACTTTCCTTATGTCATAAACTTAACACAAATATTTTCGTTTTCATATTTTATGAAAATTTCATCATCATTATATTACATTAATATTTTTTAATTGTAAACCGACAGAACATTTTTACAATATGCATTATCATGTAACATAGAGGAACAGTTTTACATGCAGATTAATGTCATGTGACAAGGTAAATCACATGATTAAAGTTTTAAATGTTATCATACTTTATATTATCGCTTGCTGTTCACTACATTTGCATCAGTGATGTTCGTTCAACTGTAAGAAATGACTTTAAGCATGCACAGCATTGAAATTAATTAGTTATAATGGAACATTTGATGATTATGATGCTGCTGCAAAGTGTCACATGTATTTTACCATGTCCTGAAAATACTGTAACAGTATAACATGGAATCCCATCCAGAAATATAATGTTTTTATATATGAACATGATATATAACCTATTACAGAGCTTAAATAATCAAAGTAGAGACTGTTTTACTAATGTAACAGCAAATAATCACTATGCTATGTTAATTTAACTTGGACAGAGGTGTTGTTCTTGTTTTCTGCTGCATTTTCATAAAATGGCCAATTCTTCTTGTTATTTTATATTATAAATATACTGCATACATAATTGGAGAATTAGGTATTCTTATAGGCTTAACTTTGTCTGCCAGCAGCTTGCCAATACGATCAATTATAGTGCCAGATCTGAGCCTGAACTTACACACAGTATTACCAGACTCTTACCAGACTATTGCCATACTCTATTGGCTGCTTTTTAATTTCAAAATTTTATTATGTTTTAAAATACTTTAATCTGATTTTATATAAATCCATTTCTTTATATACAATCATGTTTTCCTTTCAATTACTTGTAAAAATTTTACGGACAACATAAATTTCCTTATAGTTTGAAAGATTTTACTTGACAATATGTACATTGCTTAATTTGAAGAAAAGTTTTTATTCAATGAAACTTATGATATATGATAAGCTTTTGAAACAAAAATATCAAAATGTAAGTTATTGTTTATGGTCATTGTTTCTATGCTAAATTTGAGTCTTTTATAGAAGTTTCTATAGGAACAAATTTGTCTATAAGACATACTGCTGGTCAAGTCATGGAATTGTTTATGTTTTAAACATTTCATTTGGAATACTGGGAATTTAATGTTGTTGAAAAGTAGGTAAATGCATGGTATGTAAACATTACATGATATAATTTGTACCAGCTTTATTTGACAATGCTTTGATGACTTACCTCTTAATATTTTGATAAAAATGAACATTGATTGTATGTATAAAATATCATCTAGCAAACTTATAGTTAACTTATTGCCATCATTTATTAATTGTGCAATGATGACTTGCCAATGTCACCAGATTATTGTCAGGTTTTGAATGCTAACTGCAATGATAACTTGTCAATATCACCAGTTGATTGTCAGATTTTGAATGTTAAATGCAATGATGACATGTCAATATCACCAGATTATTGTCAGTTTTGAATGCTAACTGCAATGATAACTTGTCAATATCACCAGTTGATTGTCAGATTTTGAATGTTAACTGCAATGATGACTTGCCAATGTCACCAGATTATTGTCAGATTTTGAATGCTAACTGCAATGATGACTTGTCAATATCACCAGATTATTGTCAGATTTTGAATGCCTACTGCAATGATAATTTGTCAATATCACCAGATTATTGTCAAATTTTGAATGTTTACTGCAATAATGACTTGCCAGTGTCACCAGATTATTGTCAGATTTTGAATGTTTACTGCAATAATGACTTGCCAGTGTCACCAGATTATTGTCAGATTTTGAATGTTAACTATGATGACTTGCCAATATCACCAGATTATTGTCAGATTTGAATGCTAACTGCAATGACTTGCGAATGTCACCTGACCATTGTGAGACCAGCTTTGCACATCTGTTAATCTTAACCAAACTATTTACTGTTTGGCTACTGGATTAAAAAATTTTCATATAATGAAGTTCCGTAAAGTTACAATGGATTGTTCTAAAGTCGAAGCAGAGTAAGTTGAGTATACAAATATAGTAGTTATAGAGTTGGAAGTAATTAGGAGTTAATTAGGAAAAGTGTAGGCTGTCAATATGTTAACATGATATAGTAATTGTGTTACCTAGTTACATGATATATTGCCAGTGTTAGCCTGTTTATGGCAATGTTAAAATCAGTAATCACATGCAATACACTACCTGTAATTATCACAGAGTTCTATTTTAATCAGTATTAAAATCAAACAAGCTGAAATCAATATTCAAGATAAATAAGATATATTACATTTAAATTAATCAAGTTATGTAATCTTCCTAAGGCAGGTCTTTTACCTGCAAGTTTCTAAACTTGGGTAAAATGAGAGAGAAATTTGTAACTGTCGAGAACAAAATGTGAAATGTTTGCAACCATTTTTTTACCCGTATTTAAAGTGAAGATAATCAAATGTACCCTTATATGTCACAGTTTTAACAAATAATTAAAATTTCTCTCTTTTGCATTGATTAAAATTATCATGCACGTTTAAACAAATTGAAAATCAAAAAAAAATGTTTTGAATTTTCATCTTAACAAAGCATCTGTTACATAGCATGATCTGATTGGGAGGAAATGTATTTATGTTGAAACAAAATATTTTATTGACTTAAGTTATCAAGACTAAAGTTAACAAAAGTAAAATAAAAGGAAACACTTAAAACTAGTATAAACATATTTTCATTTGCATCATTTTCAAACATTTCTTTGAGACATTTAGTCAGTTACCATGGGACACTGATGTTACTATCATTTTGACTATCTTGGTGGCAAAATCCTGAATGTATATATCGTACCTTTAAATGATGAAATGATAGGTAAAAAATGCAATGAAATAAACACACATTCTGACACACACACACAAACACACACACACCAGAAAGTTGAAACTTGTGCTGGATTTTTACAACTATAGTTTCAGTGAAGAATGATAGGCACTGATATGGGGAAAGATTTGTCAGACTTGCTGTTTTTGTATAATAGTTAATGTGGAACCACAAAAAAAACAAAAGTCCTTTAATAATTAATGAAAGTAATCGTCATGTTTGTAATTACTAGGATAAAAGTAATTTATTATGTATGATTCTCCACTGATTTGTTTGTAAACTTGCCTGACAAACATCATCTTGTCTTATTATGCTGAACACAGTTTATTGGATTTTGAAATAAGGAAGTTATATTTCTTGGAAATTTTCAGAAAAGATTCACACTAAATGAGATATTATCAATAGTGATGCATTGTAAAAAATATGGCTTCAAACAATATTTCAGGTTCATTAACTCTTGAAGATGTAAAAAACTCTTAATTTTGAAACTGAAAACATGTTTTTGTTGTTGTTTTTGTTGTTTTTTTTTAAGTGAGGTTTTGGAGAATTGACAATTTTTTTGATTTATTGTTTCTTCAAAAGTTTTTATATAACTATACAGTTCTTCATTATTTTTATGTCAAGTTTGCATTGTTAATATCTCTTATGATTTCAAAAAAGGAGCCAAAAATGTGGTTTATAGTTAAGGTTGAAATGTTAGTTCTGTACTCCTTCCAACTTCGACAAAAGATAACAGTTAAAACTTTGCTTGTAAAACCATGTTAATATGACTTGTGTCATGCACCCAGAGATGAAGATAATTATGTAGTTGTCCCTTAATATGTCCGAATACATGTCAGAAAAATGATTATTGTCCAATAAATATATATACCTTTGTTTATATGGCATTGTCCAAGCTGCAAATTTGTCTACGTAATTAATCATTTTAATAGTAATATTTTGCTATTACCGGTTATTCAACTTCATGTTAAACAAACAAGACTCACTAAACCATTAAAAATATTCAGTTTGCATTTCAATATGTTATTTGGCATTTAACTACACATAGGACATATGTAGCCAGCAGCATGTGGACATGACATTTATACATAAACAACTATTCATATTATGATGTCTTTATCTTCTTTAAAAAAAAAGAACAAAAACAACAAACTATCTGAATGAAAGTGTTCCTGAATATTTGGCAAAAATAACCCTTTAAACAGTCAATAAAGTTCACTTTGACATTGTATCTAAAAAAAAAAGCATTATAAAAAATCATTTTAATTTATTTCCAAAGTTTTCTTAACACTGATTGACATGGAAATAAATAATTATGTATATGAGATTCTTCGTAGTATCTAGATAGAAAGTTTATTTGTGTAAATCTGTGTTTATAGATTGTGCATATTCAGTTTGATTTACAGTAAAAATAGTGATTTGTTTTCTATTACCTCCCTTGATCAAGTTTACTTCCCCTTGTTTAGATAGAAACAATGTTGTAATTTTTATTATTTTTTTATTATTTATAGGAAATAATGCATTATTTGTTTTCAATAACAGATTTCTAAATATGAAGACTCATAAACATAAAATATTATTTTGAAATAAAGCACTGAAAAGATAAAAGAGTTAGAAAGAAATGATGTATGTCTTTTAATAAATTATTTTCCAATAGTTTACGATGTTAACATTAACTGTAGAGGAATTTTGCAAGTCATTCTTGTTTCTGTTTGAAAATATTACCAATATAGGAAATCATAATTGTAATACTGTAAAAATACAATATTGAAGACATTTACTTAATTGTCTTGTTTTGTTGTTGGTTAAATTGTAAGCATTGCCTAACTTAGATATAACATGTTAATGTTGTATAAGAATTGTATGTAAAATCAAGTTTTGAAATTCATCAGATAAGTATATGTAGTTTCATGATGATAATGATTAATATATGCTTATCAACCATAACCTATTAAACGCTTGATGCATAATTGATTTGCTTATGTTATTTGTACCAGGTCAGGTTAATATCAATGTTATATGCCCAGACAATAATACATATATACCAGTAAGCTGCGCAATATTACCTGCCTCATATAGAGATGTTATTTTACTTAATATGTGTAAAATTATTAAAAGTTTATAGAATTGAATATTCAGTATGCAAATTCAGTAAGGTAAAAGGTTATTATAAAGGTATAATGGAGAATTACTAATAGAGATCATCATAGAAATAAGAATAAACTTTTATATCATCTCATTTCATCAGTATAATATTCACTAGTCATGTGCACCGATCTAATAATGTACGTCTTGAATTTATTGTGTAGTTTTATTAACACAGTATCTTATTCTAATATAATGATCATTTTGACTGTTAGCAAACTATATGTGTTGTAGGCATCATGAACATAGTTTAATTTAGTGTTATTATATATATTTGTAGGTCATTTTTCTCAGGAAGGCTTTCTGAAGTTTTTGATGTCGGAGGACAATAACCTGATACCAGCAGAGTATCTAGATCTTAGCCAGGATATGACCCAACCTCTCTCTCATTACTTCATTAACTCCTCCCATAATACCTACCTGACAGGTAAATTTTATTGATTTCATTGATTATTTGAATGATCGGTAAAGAAAATTAAAAAAAATAAAAACTCAACCACCTTACCCGTCCTGTTTTTCCCACCTATATGACTGAAATACTGTTGGAAAAAGGCGTAAAATGAAAACAAACAAACAAAAACCAGTCCTGTTGTCAGTTAAATTCAGGTTATAGTACATATAAACACATGTGATGTTCTTGTTAATTAGACAATAATTTTGCCCCCATTTAAGAAGAGGGATACTGTGAGGTGGTCGTTGGACAAGTTTGAAGTATATTTGTTTTTAAAACATGTTATGTTTATAAAAATGTCTAAATATGAAACTGCAATCAAATGTGTGAAAAAAGATATTGAATTAATTTAAATATAATTTATATTATACAGGTCACCAGTTGACAGGAAAGTCTTCAGTAGAGATATATCACCAGGTGTTATTGAGTGGTTGTCGTTGTATAGAACTCGATTGTTGGGATGGTAAAGGAACAGATGAAGAACCACTTATAACACATGGTTTCACAATGTGTACTGATATTCTCTTCAAGGTAATTTTGTAACACATGGCTTTACACTGTGTACATATACTCTCAAGGTTAAATTGTAATTATTACACATGGGTTTTCAGTGTATAATGATATTCTCTTCAAGGTAATTTTGTAGAACATGACTTCACACTTGTGTTTTCAAGGTATTTTGATACTCATGGTTTTTGTAGTGACATTCTATCCAGATATTTTTGTAACACATGGCTTTACAATGTGTACAGATATTCTCTTCAAGGTAGTTTTTAAACACATGGATTCACACTGTGCACTGACATTCATTTCATAGTAATTTTATAACACATGGCTTTACAATGTGTACATATATTCTCTTCAATGTAATTTTGTAACACATGGATTCACACTGTGTACTGATATTCTCTTCAAGGAAATTTTGTAACACATGGCTTCACACTGTGTAATGACATTCTCTTTAAGATATTTTTGTAACACATGGTTTTACACTGTGTACATACACTCTCATGTTAAATTTTAACACATGGCTTCAAAAATTTGTACTGATATTCTTCACAAGGTAGTTTTTAAACGCATGGATTCACACTGTGCACTGATATTCTCATCAAGGTAATTTTGTAACACATGGCTTCGCACTGTAACCATATACTCTGCTAGGTTATTTTGTAACACATAGGGGGATCACATTGTCTACAGGCATTCAGTGCTAGGTAATTTTGTAACACATGGCTTCACAATGTGTACTGACATTCTCTACACACATGGCTTTACAATGTGTAAAGATATTTTCAAGGTTATGTTTTAACACATGGCTTCATTATGAACACATTGGTTTACAATTTGTACATATATTCTCTGCAAGATAATTGTATAACACACCTCAATCCTGTATTTATGTTATTTGTGAAAAATGTTTATAAGATCGCTTCCTCTAAAATCTCACTGTTTGCAAAGTTTATTAATACAAGTCAGAGACACTCAGTATTATTTGTTATTTACAGGATGTGATAGAAGCCATTGCAGCAAGTGCCTTCAAAACCTCAGATTATCCTGTTATACTTTCCTTTGAAAACCACTGCTCGTAAGTTAAACTTTAAAATTGTATGTTATATGCTTTCATTACTACAAAATATATTTTCTAAGAAAATAACTAAATTTATAACATACCCGTGCCGATTTTGCGACTCTGTAAAAATGGTATTGCACGCCCATGCATATAATTATTTTGTTGTGACGTCATTTACGTTATACAAACATAGTGTAAAGATGAGCTTTAGATATAAGCATTACACTATAGGGGCATCAATGAAAAAATGATTATTTTGCACTTTAAACAGTCTTTATTTTGGGTATGTGCTAAATAGAATATTATATTTGTGTAGGCTCATTACTGCATTTAATGAACTAGTTAAATAAAGTAATATTATGCTCACCTATACTCATTCAATATCCTCTATTTATTTCATCTGTTTGTTAAAGCATGCTTGTATGATTTTAAATAGTTAAACTTAAAAGTCACAGGTTATGAATTACATGTTTAACTTTGAAAAGTTAGCATGATTTGATTATTGTCTGCTTTTTAGATATCTGATGGAATTATTTTTACAGGGTTAAACAGCAAGCAAAGATGGCTGCACATTGTAGAAATATATTTGGAGATATGTTGTTAGTTGATCCGTTAGAAGGATACAGTGTAAGTAACAGTTTATTATACAATTATCCACACATAAATAACCAGGCAAACAATGCTATCTGACACACATATATAACGAGGCAGTGTTGTCAGATATGTCTTGATACAGTCCCTCTTTGGCTGATTTTCATAGTGATGTCCCTGAAAATGTATGCTTGATAATTCCAAAATTAAAGAAATTAAATATCAATAAAAAGGTTGTAAATAGGTTTAAGTATAAGACTTTCTAAAGTTTCATTTCTTGTTGTTTGTTTCATTATGTTAACAGAAAAGTCTGGTTATATATTAAAACCTGGTTGTATAGTTCATGTTATCATATATAGATATACCATAAATCAGTGTGTGGGTAAATTGTTCATGTCATCAATAGATAGATGTGTGCTGGTACAGACACATTTTTCATTATAATGGTATCAACTTCCGTTGTTGTTTCTTGAGGAAATTTTTGTATGTGATGATTTATTGTCTATAGTAATTGTTCAAGTCTATAAGAGCATCTATTTATACAGAACATAAATTAGTTTTGTTACAAATGTAGAAACATCACTGTAGAGAAACACTAAGGTTAAATTGCTGCATGTCTGAAAGTTTGCTGTACGAGTTTGGAATGTTCCAAAATTTGACTGCGCACAAAATTCATTTTTCTGAAGCTTACCATGCTAAATATCTTAAATGGACTTGTCCATCTTGTACTTTATACAAAACCATTTATCACAGTAAGGGAAAATTTCAAAATATGAGCGGCACTTTGACAAAACCAGCATTTGCGACCAGCATGGATCCAGATCCAGTCTGCACATTGGTGCAGTTGTATCAGGATCCAAGCTGTTTACTATCAGTTTTGCTACTTGTAATAGGGTTTGTAAGCGAACAGCATGGATCCTGATACGACTGCACCAATGTGCAGACTAGTCTGGATCCTTGCTGGTAGCAAATGCACTATGTTGGTTGTCATGGCCTAGATTATATACTGTCTGAATAGCAACGAGTGCAGACAATGATCAGATGAGTGATTTGTGCCACTTTCATCTTGATCTCCACTGGTTGCATGGTTAAAATCAGGTGCCTACACCAACCTAAGATGATTTCTTTTTATAATCATTTTTATATAATGCTTATATAAAGCTATTATATTCTACATATAACATTATGTGGTTCTGTAAATTTGATATTTCATTACATGCTAATCAAATGCACTTTGAGTGAAAATATGTTTATAGATGAAATAAGTAAGAGACTGGGTACTCTTTATGCTAATTTTTGCCCTTTATAAGTGAAGCAATATGGTGAATTAAACAGCATTATATAAGTAGAAGACAATCTTTACCTGCTATATTTCTAAAATGGATCTGTCCAGCTTTGAATTTGGAACAGTCCATTCAAAGGTGAAGGGGATTTCAAAATCAAAATATAAAAATTGAGCTACCAACAGTATAGAGCCTGGTCAGACTGCACGGATGTACAAGCTGGCCTGGCTCTATACTGGTGACAAAGGCTAATCACTTGGTCCCAGCTTGTGAAGGGTTAAGTTCTATGACAATGAAAAAGAATTTGTTTTGTTTTATTCTACAGCTTGAACCCAACGTTCCATTACCCAGCCCAGAACTCTTGAAACATAAGATCATCATTAAAAACAGGAAAAAACATTTTCATAAGAGTAAGTGTGTCTTTTATTTTAATGTTATACATTTTCTTTATACAGTTTAATGTGTGTGTGATTTATAATTAATATTTTGTTACAATACAATAATATTGTTATTATGCCCCTGAAAGGTTAGGGTTGCATATAGGTTTTGAATTAACTGTCTTCCACATGTTTGTCCATGACATAACTTTGTGATGGGTTTTCAAATATTTTGTGGATATAAATCTGTAGGACATTGAGACAATGATTCACATACATTGTCCAGGTTTGTAGGTCAAAGTCACACTTAACCAGATTTTTTTTCAGTTAATAGAATTAATGATTGTCAGTGGAATAATTTTAAAATAAAACATTTATGTTTTGGACATGATGAGGACATGTTGTGCTCAGGAATCAGGTCTCCTGTTCAAAGGTCAAGGTCACAGCCATGTTCAATAATGCATTCCGGGCAAGCGTTGGACATGACATCACAAATGGTGAACATGTTGTGAGCAAGAGACAGTTAAGCAGCCTAAAGGTCAAGGTCACATATGTATGTCAAAAGTCATGGTATGATAGTTTATTGACACTCTTGTCCGGACATGGATTCTGTGCTTAGTGGATGGATTTAGTGTGGCATAATTAGCAAGTTGAAGATTATACTTGGATATTAAAATAGTACATTGATGGTTATGTCTAGTTATATGTTTGTCATTCATTCATTGGTGCTTTTTTGAAATAACTGGACATACTTAGAATTTAAGAAAGTGTTTGTTGATATATTTTATTCCTGAAATACTCTTTTTATAGTAACCATGCTGTTTGTTTTTACTCAAAGGTTATGGTTTCTTTACTTGATGAAGCATTGGGAGCATTTGTCAATTTCCAATGTCAAGTTATGCTTTACATTAAATTTCTCCAAATTGCTAAATAACTTAAATGTCCTGTCTTATGATGCTAGGTAAACAAAAAGTAACATCTCCGAAAACATCCAATGCCAGGAAGCCTGGTAAACAGAACAGTTTAGATGGCAGTGGTGAAGACAGTACAGTAACAGTTAGTGTTGTTGACATTGAAAAAACACCCGTATCAAAGACCGAGAGTCCTGAAAGCCTTGATGAAAGCCAGAAAACTGATAAGCCTGGTGTTGAGGATAACATGTATGATTCGGAATCATCAGAGAGTGATGATGATGATGAAGTTACTGGATTGACCGAGGAGGAGGAGAAGGAAAGACAGAGGGAGAAACGAGAAAAGGTGAGCAATGTATAGATAAATGTTTGTGTTGTATATACCATGTCAACAGAAACAGAACATTTACTGCTTGATATACATATGTCACATGTTCTCTACAAAATTTTCAGGTCAACTTTTGATTATAAGAGAGATAATGTAAATCTTATGTAACCCTGGTCGTATACAGTTATAAAAGCTTCTTTCTTGACATATTATCTATTAAAAAAGCTTAACTTGAAGCAAAGAATCTTAACATTTGTTGTATTCAGTAAAGTTAACTACCTATGTTATTATTATATTTTACTATATATGGCTTTTGCATTTTCTTTGTGAAAGAAAACAACAAGAATAACTTTAAGTAACTAAAACTTGTTTACATATACGGAATTATGCTTATAGCTTTTCTAATGAAATGTAGGATATCTTGCCATGAGTGTGACTATAAACTGTGCATGAGTCATCTAAATATTGTCAATATACATTCTACATACAACATATAAAAAAGTTTAGTTAATGATATTAATACAAACATTCGTCTTGTATATACAATCAAATAGCATGCAAATACAGACAATAGTATAACAGCATTTTGTAGCATAATTATTGTTAAAGTCTATGTAATCATTAGTAGTACATTTATTAATGTACTTTATATGTACAACTGTAGACAACTGTCATTATTATGTATATTTATGTTAAGTTATAATTAATTAAGTATGTAACTATGTAACCTTGGTTACCAAAAACTTTGTTTTTGCTGAAGCGTCACCATGGTAAACATGTACATGTACTGAGAATGAACTGGATGGAGGTAGTGTATTTTAACACAATGCATGTGTTCATTACACAGACCAGCTTGGTTAAGGTTGAAAATGAAATTAAAGTACATGATTTATAACCAGAAATCTGAAATTATGTTAGTGACAGGTAAATTCTGTACTCGGTCACTTTTATCAAGGTCTGAAGATTTTTTAATATCATGGGCAGTACATTGCTTGTTTCTGTTATTTGATTTGTTTGTAAGTAGTTTTCATTCAGAGATAGCATCCATTAAAAAGTAATACATGAACCTTTGCATTCTGGGTAATGGTCCTTTTCTTTACTTTTGGATACTTAGGACCTGTTATTGAATTCGCTTAAGTGAGTGCCCATGTTTTTTGGGGTTTTTTTTGTGTTGATGAGTTATTGCCCCTCATACAGAAAATATTGCTAAGTATAGTATTACTGGATTATGGCCCCTGTTTTATTGGTGACAACTTACACCAATATATGTGTGTATTTAAAAGCTTGATAAAAGTTTATAAATTCATTAATTTTAAAATCAGTGAGTTTAAAACAGTGTTATGTAGCACAATATAAGGAATGTATGCACAAGGGAATGTAAACACGCATTGAAGCTTTTGATGCATGTATTACTAAAAATCCTCATTTATAAATATATGTAAACATTGTATATTATAATTATATATTGATAAGAGCTTTTTACAAGAACATTATCTGATTTATGTCGACCATGAGAAAATTGTAGGTTGTTGAAATATGTTGCAGTGTACAGTTAACCTTTTAATTGTTTTATATACTTGAAACAGTTGTAATGTTCAAGGAGTTTGAACTACAATATTGAACTACATTATTGACAATTAAATAACAAGCATATGTACAACACTTACATATTCTCAACATGTAGATCATTGACCTAATGAAAGTAATAGTAAGTCTATGATACATTAAAAGTTCATGGGAAGTACAGCTTAATGGGACATTATAAGGTATCTATCTACCCACTAATCAAAGGAATCAAAATAATATAAACATATTAAAAGTTTATTTACCCATTTAAGAACCAGGTGAACAAACATAAGGTCATAGACCTCTAAATATTTTAAACATGTAAGTCAATTCTTTTAAAGTATATTCTTCTTGTGAGGCTGTTACGTATGTTGATATGTATATATGATACAAATAAACACACCTTGATAACAAAGTGCATACATGTGTATCTATTACAGTGAAATACTGGCTAAATGGGCTCTTTTTATATTGAATCATATATTTCTGTCAAACATGCATCTTATTTTCTGTGTATTTATAAATAATAAAAGTAAGGGCATAATTATATAGGTAAACAGGTCTTTGTCTTGTATGCGCTTCCTGCTGGACTCTCTGCTACACGGCTATATGCTGACTATACCTGGCTCAATCTTCTATCTCCTGGTGCCTCTATTAATAAAATCTTCTGGGCAAGACTTCATCAATCAGTTCTATTCCTTTTCATTGTAACATTATAATAGTGTTTCCTAAGTACGAGTAAACATATCTTTTGTGTAAAAGCATTATAAAGTTGGTAGATTATGTAAAAATTAGTTTTTGATACATTTGAAGTAGGTAAATCAGGTTTGAATGCAGTAAATAGTGGGTAAACAATTTGTAAAATGGACAATGTGTAAAATGGGTAAGCAATTTGTAAAATGGGTCAACAATAAGTAAAATGGGTAAACAATATGTAAATGGGTTAACAATTTGTAAAATGTATAAACAATATAAATGGGTAAACAATATGTAAAAAAAATAAGTAAAATGGGTAAACAGTATGTAAAATGTGTAAACAATATGTAAAATGGGTCAACAATAAGTAAAATGGGTAAACAATATGTAAAAAAATAAGTAAAATGGGTAAACAATATGTAAAATGGTTAAACAATATGTAAATGGGTTAACAATTTGTAAAATGTGTAAACAATATGAAAAATGGGTAATCAATATGTAAAATGGGTAAACAATATGTAAAATGGGTAAACAATATGTAAAATGGGTAAACAATATGTAAAATGGGTAAACAATAATATGTAAAATGGGTAAACAATATGTAAAATGGGTAAACAATATGTAAAATGGGTAAACAATAATATGTAAAATGGGTAAACAATATGTAAAATGGGTAATCAATATGTAAAATGGGTAAACAATATGTAAAATGGGTAAACAATATGTAAAATGGGTAAACAACAATATGTAAAATGGCTAAACAATATGTAAAATGGCTAAACAATATGTAAAATGGCTAAACAATATGTAAAATGGGTAAACAATTTGTAAAATGGGTAAACAATGTGCAAAATGGGTTAAACAAGTAGACAAATAATATATAAAAGGAGGTAAATAATGTGTGAATTTAATTAATGTTATAAAAATAATGTATAAAGGAAATAAATCTGCCTACTTAGCTAAATAGGAAAAGTATGAGATTTGAAATCCAAGGGAAGGTCAAGGTCAAATTTCTCCATGACAACTGATCTCGGTCATTCATTGAATTTCATGGTCATTTATCTCTCACTGCTAATTCAGAAATCATATTGGATTAGTAGTTGGGTCAGTGGCAGAACAATTGGAAATTACTGGTTTGTTATCCAGGAAAGCTGCGGACTGACTCCAGATATATGACCAAAAAATATGTTAAAATCTATGGTAAACACAGATAAACTAAAATAAAAGGGAGAAGCTTTATAATAAGTGGGTTAAAAAATACAGCTGATAATTTTTGAATTGGGTAAATAATATGTTCAAAGGACAAACAAAGTAACAATTGAGTAATTAATGCAAATAAGTAATTTATAAATTGGGTTATAAAAGTGTAATGGGTAAAAGGTGAAGAGAGTAAATGATTAATAAAAATAAAAAGAATTGAATAAAAGAAGTGTAAACACTGAAAGAATCTTCAGTCCAGTTCATTAAATACCAAAAAAATCATTGAAAGAACAATACTTACATATAATATCATCACTTCATGGCATTGGGTGTTACTTATTATCAGAAAATAGTTCTGCATATTTGAAGTATTTGATACCATTACAGGCATGCCAGAAATTAATTAATCAAGACTCCAATTGTTTATTTCTTAATAATATAATATACCATGAGTCCAAGGTATCAAATCACATAGTTTAAAGATAAAATTATTTATTATGTACTGCCCTTCTCTGAAAATAAACTATTCTTAAATTCTTAAGACATTTAATGTTGTGGTGATTAAAATTATAAGAAAATATTTTGCAAAACTTCCATGGTAAATACTTGTTGAATATTGAACTTACCTTTGTTTGTTAGTATTGTTCTGGTCATTCAGGGATACATCTGTAAAAACACAACTACCCTGGCACCCCATTATAATGCTTAAGTTTGGGTCTAAGATCTTTAACCATTTTAAAATTGGGATTCTGTTATAAAAACACTCCTCATGGAAAAGAATTTATCATACAGGTTGTTATTTAATACAATTTTCTGGTGTAGGTAATAAGATAAGTTTGAATATACTCATGAATATGTTATTAGGAAATGTATTTTTTAAAAAAAACTTGTATAATATATAGACATAATGGTCCCTCATTAAACATGTGTATACTTGAGTCAGCCAGTCATAATGATAGCAGGTGACTGTATGACATATGATACAGACATAGGAAGGGTATGGTCTTTATGATATAGACATAATGAGAGGAGGAGAGTGTATAATATTAAGTTTGACACAGATATTGTAATGTAGACATAATTACATAAGAAATAATTGTAGACATTGAAGGGTAGGAACTGATCATAGCATATATATATAGTTTGAAAAACATAGATATATAGATAACTTGTAGATATCACTTTAAAAAATATCAGAATAAAGTTTTTCACATAAATGATTGAATTAAGAAAGTGTTGAAGTATTGACCTACCATTTCAGTGTAGGCAGTGCTACAATATAGACCTACTATTTCAGTGTAGTCATGGGTAAAACATGGACCTACTATTTCAATGTAGACAGTGCTACTATTTGATCTACTATTTCAGTGTAGTCATGGGTAAAACATGGACCTACTATTTCAATGAAGACAGTGCTACAATATTGATCTACTATTTCAGTGTAGTCATGGGTAAAACATGGATCTACTATTTCAGTGTAGACAGTGCTACAATATTAAACAACTATTTCAGTGTAGTCATGGGTAAAACATGGACCTACTATTTCAGTTTTGGCAGTGCTACAATATTGAACTACTATTTTAGTGTAGTCATGGGTAAAACATAGACCTACTATTTCAGTGTAGACAGTGCTACAATATTGAACTACTATTTCAGTGTAGTCATGGGTAAAACATGGACCTACTATTTCAGTGTAGACAGTGCTACAATATTGAACTACTATTTCAGTGTAGTCATGGGTAAAACATAGACCTACTATTTCAGTGTAGACAGTGCTACAATATTGAACCACTATTTCAGTGTAGTCATGGGTAAAACATAGACCTACTATTGCAGTGTAGTCATGGGTAAAACATAGACCTACTATTTCAGTGTAGACAGTGCTACAATATTGAACCACTATTTCAGTGTAGACAGTGCTACAATATTGAACCACTATTTCAGTGTAGACAGTGCTACAATATTGAACCACTATTTGAGGGTAGTCATTGGTAAAACATAGACCTACTATTTCAGTGTAGATAATGCTACAAAATTGAACCACTATTTCAGTGTAGTCATGGGTAAAACATAGACCTACTATTTCAGTGTAGACAGTGCTACAATATTGAACTACTATTTCAGTGTAGTCATGGGTAAAACATGGACCTACTATTTCAGTGTAGTCATGGGTAAAACATGGACCTACTATTTCAGTGTAGACAGTGCTACAAAATTGAACTACTATTTCAGTGTAGTCATGGATAAAACATAGACCTACTATTTCAGTGTAAACAGTGCTACAATATTGAACTACTATTTCAGTGTAGTCATGGGTAAAACATAAACCTACCATTTCAGTGTAGGCAGTGCTACAATATTGAACTACTATTTCAGTGTAGTCATGGGTAAAACATGGACCTATTATTTTAGTGTAGGCAGTGCTACAATATTGAACTACTATTTCAGTGTAGTCATGGGTAAAACATAGACCTACTATTTCAGTGTAAACAGTGCTACAATATTCAACTACTATTTCAGTGTAGTCATGGATAAAACATAGACCTATTATTTCAGTGTAAACAGTGCTACACTACAGACCTATTATTTGAGGGTAGACATGAATGTTATGTGATAGTTGTTGTGTTTTTCCATTTTCTATCAGCTTGATGAGGATTATGATGGAAGCGATGCTGAGATGTATTGTGGGGAGTACATGGTATGCTGCATCGAGCAGACACTCATGCTTGCAGCCTTATTGTGCATGTCTTTTATTTTAAATGGAGACAGCTATTAGACATCCTCTATTTAAGTATACTTTGCTAACTCACCAACCAGTCCAGCTTGAAAGTTTTTTTTCTTTTGCAGATTGTTTTTTGTTAATTTCACCAAATGGTGAATATTGAAAATATGTGTATATGTAATTGGTACTTTTTGTGATAGATATTATAATTTGCTTGTTAAAGAATAGCAGAGTATATATAGATATAGGAGTTTGTCAACATGCTGTATATAATAGAATTATGTTTTGAGTGCTTGATTTTCATTTTCAGTTAAAGAAAGAAAAGGTATGCCCCCATCCTTCTATTTTAAATTGTTTATCTTTTTAACCACCATTTTCAATACACATTTAAACATCTACACACTAATGCTTTAAGTGTTTTTTTAAACTGTAGTCACTAATAAAGGTATGATCCCAGTTTCACAATTGTCAACCAAATATGAAAACAAATTAAATAATACAATTGAAAAAATCAAAATTGACTGCTAATAGGAAAACTGCTTGTAAAATATGTAGGTCAATTAAATCTGTAGCAGTGACCGTCTAACTAAAGGTCTCTGTCTGTTAATCCAAGTGTCATAGGTTAATGGTTAATTTCATTCTGGTCAGAACTATGTTTCCTTGTATGACACCGGTACTGGAAAGTTCAAGGAACTAAATATGAACTGATAAGATGAAAAGAATGCATTTATAAAAAAGTATCATGTCAAGGTGAAGGTCATTATGTAGAGAAAAATTAAAATAATGTCACTGTGAAGAAAATGTCATCATACACTGAATGTCATTATAAAGAAGGAAATGTCATTATAAAGGTTGCCATAAAGAGAATGTCATTATAAAGGTTGTCCTAAATGGAATGTCATGATAAAGATTGTCCTAAATTGAATGTCAGTATGATGATTGTCCTTAATGGAATGTCATTATTAAGATTGTCCAAAATGGAATGTCATTATTAAAAATGTCCTAAATGGAATGTCATTATGAAGATTGTCCTAAATGGAATGTCATTATAAAGATTGTCCCAATTGAAATGCCATAAATATTGTCCTAAAGGGAATGGCATTAACAAAATGTCATTGTGAAGGTTATGTTACGACAGAGGTCAATACATTACAACTGCATATATCTATGTCATTCTGTAGTGTAAAGTTAAGGTCAAATAAGGTCAAGGTCAAATAAATGTCATAATTGTGGAACTGGTGGATTTTACACACTAAAAAATTTCAACATATTTTAACACCAACTTTTAATGCACACCACTTTACAGGGATTTCTGTCATGTAGTTTTGACCTTCAATATCTTCTAGTTTCATATAATTCTTGACTTCCTACTTATAACAGATTACGGCACTAAGTACACCTACTCAGTGGTCCAACCATAAAATCTTTATAAATTCAGTAACCTCCCTATATATGTATGGTTCATTCATGAACACATGCTTTGTCCATCATATCATCATGTCAAATGATGATGTTACCACATTTATTCAAAGATTAGGCAAAAAAGTGCTGAATTTATAAAGGTTGTTTAGGGTTGGACCATCTTTATACATTTCTTCATTTGTTTTTCTTGCAACACAAATAATCAATTAATTTAAACAAGATTTCAAATTGTCACCTTAATTTTTGAAATTAGCAAGTTTGTCAGTGTGCAAATTGTGCATTTTGTTCAGTGAAACTTTATGTAAAATATTTAATTTAGATGCGTATTTGAATAGAATATAGAGTAAAAATACATTTTCAAGTTACATGCACTCGGGCAAACATGCTAACTACACATATACACAGACATACATGCAAACTACACACGTGCATAGACAAATATGCAAATTACACATTTTAACATATTATGTGCAAACTACACAAATGCACTTACACATGCACACAATTGTAAGATTAAAAATGTCAATTTGTTAAAGACCAAAGAATAAGCAAATTTTTATAGTAGATTTTACCCCCCCAAAAAACACATGAAATTTATAAACTATTATATATAATATTTATATGTTAAAGATTCTGTAAAATAGTTACTGAAATGTAGCTATAGTTTCATCCATTAGTACCATTACATTTTGTATATTTTTCACTAATATAAGAACATGAGGATGTTACCTTCTTTACATGATTTAAGAATGATAGATTGTTTCACCAATATTTGTTTAAACATTTTTTATTGAACATGTCATATTAAATAAATATATAAATAAATAAATTAAGTTTCTTGTAATTAGTTATCTTGTTTAAAAATGAAAGAGATAGTGAATGTAAAACTTCACACTAAGTGTCACACTCATTTTGTAAGGATTTATCTGCTGCTGCAGTTTATACACTAACACACATTATATATTTAACTTTCTACTAATAATGATCTCCTATTTTCTTTTCAGACATTAATGAAAGTCTCAGAGTAATTCCATTTATTGACACTTAAAAATGCAAAACATTTCCTTTCATTTTATATACTTTATTTGAGTATTACACCAGTGGCACACTTTTTGACCAGACTCCAAGGTGAAACCAGTCTCAAATAACAGGTTCTGATTGGTTGGTATTTATAACCTTTGCGTTATCTGACCAATGAGAATGCAGTATTTTGTGACTGGTACCCAGATTTTAGTTCACAACATTGAAACTAGTTGTTTACACTAATTTGATTTCTCCTGTCCTAACATCTTCAGTTCTTTAGTGCCCTTGCAAAACATTAAGCAAAAATTGGTCATTTTCAAACATATACTTTACCTTATTGTAAGAAAATTCCATTCTTTCAAAGTTTGAAGATTTAGGTCAGTTTTATGCGGCATTTTTTTGAAAAAAAATTTCATGGAGTATGTTTGAAAATGATAAATTTTTACCTATTTTAACTGTATCACAGTGTGTACTATTTAATCGCAGCACCCAATATATTAAATATCATATGATATCCAACCTTTAGTGATTTAGTTGAGTATATAAAATATATAATCATGTTCCCTAACTGTTTTTGGTCTAATAAAAAACAACATTTTTACAATGTTTTCAGCCAATTAATTTCTATTTTAAACATTATCCAGGAGTGTAACACTGATTGACAGCTTTATTAATTCATTTTTTATTTTACTTTTTTTTCCATGCTTAACTGCTAAAATTATCATATTGTTTTATTTGAAATGTATAATTGTAGAGAAACTGTTATTTTGGAATAATGATGATAATTTATTCTTCTAAAAAAATCAGTGGATACGTTTTTGGTCTTTTGGTCTAACTAAAATATCAATGAATAAATTGAAGCGTATTGTTCAACATGTGTCATATTTATCTCCCTTTATTATCCGTTGATTATGTCATTAAGTCCAGAATTACAGTTTTTACCAGCTTCGTTGGCTATTAAAATTTGAACAAAATATATGATATGTAGAATAATTGTCAACTTTATTTGGAGTGTAGCTGTCACTTTGTATAGAATAAAATTTAACTTGCAAAATGAAATCATTTTTCAGATGACAAAGAATTCAGTTATTTTGACTTTGTTTCTTAAATTATAATAAGACTGGATAATACTTTTAATAAACAGATTGATTTTAGAATAACCAGTCAGCTTGTTATAGTGGGACAAAAAGATAACACATTCACAATGAAGTTACAATTGCATGAGAGAAGTCAATGTTTTATAATATATTTTGCCATAAATTTTCATTATAGCTTCTTTGAAAAAGAAATTATTTATGGTAAAAAGCATTTTGGATAAATATTGCATGTTAATAAGTAATATTGAATGTGATGTGGTATATATACAGGTATAGCCCATCTAAGATAGGCATGTTTTATATGTCTTTACGGTATAAATGCTAGTATTGACCAATTTATAGCATGCATAAAGCTATGTAATTACAACAGTGACATTGTCACTGAAGTAGTATGCCAAAGGTTTGTCACATGTCCTATATGCTGTCACATGTTCATAATGGTGCCATGCTTATAGAGTTACATATACTGTTTGTAAAAGCTGATTTATTTTGACAGTAGCTTTCAGTGGAAATATTATTACCATTTTTTTTTTCAGAGAACTAGAATAACTTAAAGTTAACAGTCAGCAGTTTCTGCTTCATAATGATATATCACATGATCTTGACAAAACATGTCCGGTTATATTGCCCAATCTATAAATGAAAATAGACTAATAAGTTATTTAATATCGTGTAATGTACAGAACAGGATATTTCTGTAAGCAATAGATAAGTGCCTAAAATGTTAATATCAGATCAAAGGTCACCTTGTATACAACTAAAATCAGAAATACAATTTCTGGATCCTATTAACTTAACCTAACAGTGTCAAATGTGTTGTTACCTTCAACAGTTAACAGTAAAAAATATGTTAGTACCATTTACTTAACCTCACAATACAAAATGTGATGTTGCCAGCTAACTACTTCACATCTCAATACAAAATGTGTTGTTGCTAGCTACTTCACCTCACAACACAAAATGTGTTGTTGCTAGCTACTTCACCTCACAACACAAAATGTGTTGTTGCTAGCTACTTCACCTCACAACACAAAATGTGTTGTTGCTAGCTACTTCACATCTCAATACAAAATGTAGTGGTGTCAGCTACTTCACCTCACAACACAAAATGTGTTGGTGTCAGCTTGGCAGTTACTTCACATCTCAATACAAAATGTGTTGGTGTCAGCTACTTCACCTCACAATACAAAATGTGATGTTGCCAGGTACTTCACCTCACAACACAAACTGTGTTGTTGCCAGCTACTTTACCTCTCAATACAAAATGTGTTGGTGTCAGCTACTTCACATCTCAATACAAAATGTTTTGGTGCCAGTTACTTCACCTCTCAATACAAAATGTGTTGGTGTCAGCTACTTCACCTCTCAATACAAAATGTGTTATTGCCAGCTACTTTACCTCACAATACAAAATGTGTTATTGCCAGCTACTTCACCTCTCAATACAAAATGTGTTGGTGCCAGCTACTTCACCTCTCAATGCAAAATGTGTTGGTGCCAGCTACTTCACCTCTCAATACAAAATGTGTTGGTGCCAGCTACTTCACCTCTCAATACAAAATGTGTTGATGCCAGCTACTTAACCTCACAATACAAAATGTGATGTTGCCAGCTACTTCACCTCTCAATACAAAATGTTTTGGTGCCAGCTACTTCACCTCTCAATACAAAATGTATCGCTGGCAGCTACTTCACCTCTCAATACAAAATGTTTTGGTGCCAGCTACTTCACCTCTCAATACAAAATGTATTGGTGACAGCTACTTCACCTCTCAATACAAAATGTGTTGGTGCCAGCTACTTCACCTCTCAATACAAAATGTTTTGGTGCCAGCTACTTCACCTCTCAATACAAAATGTGTCGCTGCAGCTACTTCACCTCTCAATATAAAATGTGTTGGTGTCAGCTACTTCACATCTCAATACAAAATGTTTTGGTTCCAGCTCCTTCACCTCACAGTACAAAATGTGTTGGTGCCATCTACTTCACCTTTCAATACAAAATGTGTTGTTGCCAGTTACTTCACCTCTCAATGCAAAATGTGTTGGTGCCAGCTACTTCACCTCTCAATACAAAATGTGTTATTGCCAGCTACTTCACCTCTCAATACAAAATGTGTCGCTGGCAGTTACTTCACCTCTCAATACAAAATGTGTTTGGTGCCAGCTACTTCACCTCTCAATACAAAATGTGTTGGTGCCAGTTACTTCACCTCTCAATACAAAATGTGTTATTGCCAGCTACTTTACCTCACAATACAAAATGTGTTATTGCCAGCTACTTAACCTCTCAATACAAAATGTGTTGGTGCCAGCTACTTCACCTCCTCAATACAAAATGTGTTGGTGCCAGCTACTTCACCTCTCAATACAAAATGTGTTGGTGCCAGCTACTTCACCTCTCAATACAAAATGTTTTGGTGCCAGCTACTTCACCTCTCAATACAAAATGTGTTGGTGCCAGCTACTTCACCTCTCAATACAAAATGTGTTGGTGCCAGCTACTTCACCTCTCAATACAAAATGTGTTGGTGCCAGCTACTTCACCTCTCAATACAAAATGTGTTGGTGATAGCTTCTTTACCTCACAATACAAAATGTGTTGGTGCCAGCTACTTCACCTCTCAATACAAAATGTGTTGGTGCCAGCTACTTCACCTCTCAATACAAAATGTTTTGGTGGCAGCTTCTTAACCTCTCAATACAAAATGCGTTGGTGATAGCTTCTTGACTTTTGAAGCATCATACATTCAGTTATTTGCACTGTTTCTTTATATTTTTCGATTAATTTGAAAAGGTGCATTTGAATCCACAATCTGTAGGCTACATTATATCTTGCACTAGAAACACAATTTTTTTTTATCAGAAATTTTCCAAAAAGTTACATTTATTGTAAAGCATGCAAAAGCAAATTTATTTTATTTACTTTATTCTTTATTTTAGATATTAGATGTTAAAAATTGCATGAAATCAATTTTACTTGGAATGCTGTTTTTGTTTACATTTACAAAACTTCATTTAACAGAGTATAATTTAATTAAGCATAAAATTTGTTTCTTTGGATTTTCACTTGAAAACTAAGTCAAAAAAATATTTTACAAACAGTACAATGTTAACTTAATGAAATGAAAGACAGCCTTATAGAAATGTGAATAAATCAGGCATATACTGGTTATGTAACTCTGGTACTGACTGTATGTATGTATGAACTTTTCAGAGTTTTTTTTATAAGATAAACATATTGTTTGTATGTTAACTGGGAAATGTTTCACTGTTACAGGGTACCGCAGGTTCCGAGGCAGAAGCTGGTATGGAAATGTCTGAGCTCGTGAATTACGTGCAACCTGTTCATTTCCATTCCTTTGATATATCCGAAAGTAAGTACGAGCAGATATTTGTAAAGACACGGGCATATCTGGTAGAAATATATATTTTAACAGTTGCTGAAGGAAGGCAGACATTTAGTATGCAAGTGACAGTGATAGGTCTAGTGATGGGGTGATTGCCTTTCAACAAATACATCTTTGGTTCAAGCTGACTGGGATCATATTATTTTTTATTTTCATACCACTGGAAATTCAAGACTTGTAAAGTGATTTACATAAAGTACACAAACCACTAGGCTGTAGCAGTTTACTTTGAATTATTAAGGGAATTATTTGAGCGATGTTCTGTTTTACAAACAGCTTTAAGACATGCAATGTAATGCCACAGGGACAGATATGGCAATTTCATCACAAATCATTTCTAATTTTCTCCAGCGTAGAATTGTCACAGAAATGATAAATTATGTGCCTTCAGTGAGGATGATTTTAAAATCACCTTACAAGGTCGTATTTTCAGATTTCTGAAAATTATGGTTACATATGAAGTTAGGAATTTAATAAACTGCAGTAACTGGATATGGCAGAAACATAAGCTTGATTAGTTTTGAAATTAACACAATCATGATTGTGTATACACTAGACAATCATGTGTGTACACTAGAATATGTACAACTTATTATAAAAAGTAAGGTAAGGTATAATGTATACAAAATGATCATGATATATTCTGCGATACATTTCAGAAAAGAATAGAGCATATGAGATTTCCTCGTTTGTGGAGACCCAGGCGACCAATCTACTGAAGGAATACCCAGTCGAGTTTGTCAAGTATCCTTGTACTTCCTACACAATCATGATAGTTTCCTCTTTATGAAGATATTCTTATTTGTATGGCTAGTTTGAAAATATTTATTTTAAGTCTATGCACATGCAGGTTTTCTTATATTCGTTAAAAAGTCACGATTTTTCGATTTTCTAGGAATCTTAGTATGAAAACAAGTTATATTCCTAAATGATAAACATCAGTCCGTTTTACTTATTAAAACACAAAATGACATGACTGTAAGTTGTAAGCTGCTCATCATGAAACTGCTGTATAGTTAGTTTAAAATTCACCGCATATCTGTATGTTAGTGACTATGTTATAAACATTTGTAAGCATTGACAGAACTAACTTGGTTGAGATTTTGTCCTCTATTAACTCCTTATGTATCCACTTAAAAAATCAAATGTTGTCCACAGGATTATAAAATCCATAATTCTTACATGAAATTTTTACTAACTTCATACTTCTTCTAAAAAACCTTATGACACATTGGAGGTAGTCCATAAATATTCACACTTTAGGATCTAATTCTGGGTAACTGACCATCACTGAGTTGAACAAGCTTTATATGTAATAGCTCTTGTTACTTGACCCATCTCAACTGTTAAAATATATTGGTTCAGTCGTTCAAATCTTTCATGTTCAATATTGGGATATGTTAAGATGATTAGGGTCTAAGTTAAAGTGAAAATTGGTTTGGATGTAACATATTACTATGGGTAAGTGGCTCAAATGTTTCTTTTAATGACCGTGTTAATCTTGTTTCATTACTATGATATATTTTATGCCACCACAACCCCCACTACTACCCCCCACTCACCCCCCCCCCCCAAAAAAAAAGGAACAAAAAGTGGGAGGCATGATAGTTTTTGTAATGTTTATCCTCCTGTCCCTATTTTGTGTTTGGTTCATAATTTTGTAATTTAAGGATGGATAATTTTGTATGTATAAATGTGTAAGACATTGTGACAATTTGTTTTGTGCAAGATCTAGGTCTGTAGCTCAAAGGTCAAGGTCGCTTTTTGACTTTAAAATAAATGTTTCATAAAAAAATGCACTGATGTTTGTGTCCAGTCATTCCTGGATGGTTGTTTAAAATAACTTGGTATAAATGTGTTAGATATTTTTTGCTATAATAAAATGTTTATATACATGTATATCCAGTGACTGTAGAACAATTGTAAGAAATGATTGTACCTTAACATAAACCAGTTATAATAAGAGACAGTTGAGTCGTGTATATCCACGAGGGACCAGGGTTGACTCCAGTAACTTCATGCCACAGGTATGTGTAACTTGACTCATTATGTCTCCCCCACCTCGGGGGGAGACATATTGTTTTTGCCCTGTCCGTCCGTCAGTCCGTCCGTCCGTCAGTCCGTCCATTCTTCGTTTCCGGACGATAACTAGAGTTCCTTTTGACCTACAGCCCTCAAACTTCATAGGATGATTGGTCTTATAGAGCTGATGATCCCTAATGCTTTTGGGGTCAGTAGGTCAAAGGTCAAGGTCACTGTGACCTATAATATGAAAATCATTTCTGCATGATAACTAGAGTTTCTTTATACCCAAAGGCTTCAAACTTCATAGGATGATTGGTGAAAGTCAGGAAATGATCCCTCTTGCTTTTGGGGTCAGTAGGTCAAAGTTCAAGGTCACTGTGACCTATATTATGAAAATCATTTCTATATGATAACTAGAGTGCCTTCTTACCCTAAGTCTTCAAACTTCATAGGATGATTGGTCAAAGTCAGGAAATGATCCCTCTTGCTTTTGGGGTCAGTAGGTCAAAGGTCACGGTCACTGTGACCGTTGGTCAATTTCTCGTTTCCGGATGATAACTAGAGTTCCTTTTGACCTACAGCCCTCAAACTTCATAGGATGATTGGTCTTATAGAGCAGATGATCCCTATTGTTTTTGGGGTCAGTAGGTCAAAGGTCAAGGTCACAGTGACCGTTGGTCAATTTCTCATTTCCGGATGATAACTAGAGTTCCTTTTGACCTACAACCCTCAAACTTCATAGGAAGCATCTTCTCATACAACTTTAACAATAGAAACCATCCATAGACAGCCTTCATTGAAGTGACTACCGGGTATTTACATTATCTTATCTCCATTTCCATTCCTGTTTCCATTCACAGTTATTCTCAGCAGTGGGGGAGACATGCGCTTTTTTACAAAAGCATCCTCTAGTTATCAATATGTTTTCAGTTTTGAGGATCTCCATTTTATACCTGTATTAATGTTAAGAAAAATTACAGCCAGTATGATTTTACCTCTTATATTTGAATTTGATGCCTTGACATACTGTATTTCTGTGAACATCAGGAGCATATTCTCAAGTATGAAAATAATAAAATATTCTGTTGTTCTATTCTGTTTTAATTTACTTGAATACATTTTCTTCCTTAAAGGGACTCCACTGGGGTCCAAAATCATAGAAACCTAGAATTTGAATTTCATACATAGATCAGCTGGGGGCACTTCACACAGATAGATATGTAGATATAATTTAAAAAATATACATAGAAATAAGTTGAAAATCGCTATTTGTGCATTTATCTTGAAAAAGTAATTTCAGTCCGGTCATGTCAAAAAACCTCAGTGGAGTCCCTTTAATGTTAAAAAAGTAAAACATGGTCCATGATTTCTTTCCAATAAAAGAATACAATAAATCATTTTATTGTTTCAAAAAAGACTTACATCAAATATTGTGAAGATTTATTTATGAGGAAATTAGATACATAAGATATTTTGTTATCATATTTTCAGATATTTTGGAATGCCGGTTGTCAACTTGTAGCCTTGAATTTCCAGACATTAGGTAATCATCAGATTAGGATACTTCTTGTTCTTTCAGACACAATTTTAACCTTTGATATAAGTGTAATTATGTATTGCATAGTTTTCCGTTTTGTGAGAAGATAGAATGAAGAAAGAATATTCCAGTAACAGAAAAAAAAACTGTAAATCATTATTGTCCAGGAAAAGGTTATATAACTAATATATAAAATGTTTCAAAATTATGAAAATTTGTTTTATATAGTGTGATAGCTAATAAGATGGTAGTTTTCATTCCTTCACAACACAATGTAGCTTTGAAATTTACTTTAGTACTTGATAATCTGTGAAACCATAACAAGGTCAAGGTCACTGTTACTAAAAATAGAAAAATGGGTTTCTGGACAATAACTACAGATGGGAATGAAATATTGTAATCAAACTTAGTATTCAGTAAGCTTTTATGATGACCCTGGTTGGGATTGTGTTTAGAACCCCTGGGGTCAGGGTCATTGTTACTAAAAACAGAGGTGTCCGTGGCCGAGTTGTTAAGGTCAATGACTTCATACCACATCCTGACAGGGACTATTATGTGAGGAAGCTATCCAGCTAGCCTACGGTGGTTTTACTCAGGTGCCTGTTCGTTCCTGAAATATGCACGGAAGGGCACCTGAGGTCTTCTTCCACCAGTAAAGCTGAAACGTCGCCATATGACCTATACTGTGTGGGTGTAACGTAAAACGTGTAACGTAAAACCCAAACAAACTAAAAATAGAAAAATGGTTTCTGAAAGATAGGCTATTAATTGTAATAATTATTAGTATACAGATGAAACATCATAAATTATACAACATAGGTAGAGTTCAAATTTTGCTTTAGTTTGTTTTGTCATTACACATTTCCTGTACTAGCACTGTATAATGTATATATTATATGGTTTATTACAGATTTAGCTATGCAGCTTAACCTTGGTATATTTGAGTATAACTGTAAGACGGGCTACATTCTAAAACCAGATTTTATGAGACGTCAGGATAAACACTTTGATCCCTTCGCAGAATCCACAGTTGATGGTATCATTGCTGGAACGGTTTCTGTCAAGGTAAATCATTCATGTATATATATGTTTGTGCTAAAATATGACCTTTTATATATTAGCAGCTACTAGTATTTCTGTTATGTTTGTATTAGGTCGGTATTCTTTGTCGTATAGAGATTATTGAATATAGAAAAGTTACATACCGTTTTATAGATAGGGACACAATTCTACCTGAGATAATAGTTATCCATTATAACATTTGAAAACTGTCATGTGATGAATCTCAGTTACCTTACTGAAAGCTTTTGAGAGAATCAAGTATTTTAAGAAAACTAAAAATAAATTTGAGAAAAAAGACTTAGTGTACAAGCATTGTTAACCAATGTTTTGTTTATAAATATTGTGTGACTAATATTAAGGATAGTAATTAATCAGTATAGAATGTAAATTACAGGTAATATCTGGTCAGTTCCTGTCAGACAAGAAGGTTGGCACATATGTGGAAGTTGACATGTATGGATTGCCTACAGATACCCATAGAAAGAAGTTCCGAACTAAAACTGTTCAAAACAATGGTATCAACCCAGTCTATGACGAGCCACCATTTGTGTTTAGAAAGGTAAATCTTTAAATGTTAGGATGCTGGTTATATATAAGTATAGAAATGATCATTTTAAGGACATCAGGAAGGAATTCAGACATTTTTGATGAGGGATGCTAGACTTTGAAATAAATAAACTATCCCACTCTTTTTGGGGTGGGGGTTTGGGGTGTCTGAGAAAAAAAAAATCTGCATGATTGGTGGCTTCTGGTGCAGTGTAGGTGCTCATTTTTGAATACAAATGTGTACATTTTTTCCTGAAAATTTCAGACTGAAGAACATGCAAGCAAGTGATTTAAAATTTAAGTGAATCTCTAAAAAAAATCTGCATATAAAATGTTTTTTTTTGTATGAATATGTTGTACACAATGTTTCTACATTTTCCAAGAAAATTTCAGACTTTTAACGCAGTTATGTAAAGTATTAAGTGCTAATCATACTTTGAATACTAATCAGTGGCTTCTGATGTATTTTTGGATGCACTTTTTAAAATTTTATTGGAAAAATGCATGATTTAAGAAAAAAATTCCAAAAGGAAAGAGGACTTTAAGTGGCTGCTGCAACAGAAGGAAGTATTTACAGCTATTTGACTCATGGCATGCAGTGTGTGGGATTTTGGCTGATAGAGTTATATAATAGGATGCTCACTAGGGGTTCCAGGATCAATTAACACATATTTAATGACCTACATTTAGCTTGAGCCAGTTTTTGCTGGTATTTCACTCCTTATGTCCCTTTGTGACAGAAAAAAATTGAACCGGCTGGGACTTCAACCTTTTAATACACTGCCGCCACTAAAGCACTTAACATTTCATATTGGTTATATTGTTGTAGGTTGTTTTGCCAAACTTAGCTGTGATCAGGATAGGAGTATATGAAGAAGCTGGCAAGCTGATTGGTCATAGAGTGTTAACTGTGGAAGCTCTCAGACCAGGTAAATCTATTTATAGTTACATATGTAACAATGAATATGTAACATAAACAGATATATGAAAACAAATTCAAGCACTTACTTATGAATTTGAATGATCGGTGTTAATTTATCTTTTTATAATGTACCACTTTTAAGAAATAGAGTAATATGTATATTGCCATATATGAGACAGTAGTCAAGACATTGCTTGATCAATGACTAGAGAATTCTTCCGTCTACAATCCTCAGAATTGATGTGGAGATTGCGCATGACCTATATGTGACCCCAGATGTCTTAGAAGTAGGTAGGTTAAAGGTCAAGGTCACAATGACCGACATTCTTCAGATTTGGTAGTGCGGTTGGAAATAAACCGTAATATATTGATCTCATTTTGCCAAAAGTCAAAGTTAGAGAGAAAAATAGAGATAAAAAAAGTAAAATTGTAGATGAATCTGGGGAAGGAATAAGAAGGTCACTTGATCAGTGATCCAGTTTACAATTCTGATCATTAGACAGTTAACAGTTTAGAAATTCTTGTTACATGATTAATTGGTTGCAATTTTGGGAGAGGAAATTATTTTATGTTTCTCAAACATGTATTTGTTTTGTTTTTGTATAACTTTATGTAATATATTTATAGGGTACCGCCATATAATTCTACGCAATGAAAATAACCAACCTCTGATGTTACCGACCTTGTTTGTTTATATATCTGTGAAGGATTACGTGTCGGATATGCATGCAGGTTTGTATACACTTATTTAGTTTATACAATTTCATTTTAGTTTATTTGTGTTGGAAGCTATAAGCTTATTGAAACACTCTCTAATCTGTTCCAGGAACCAACCAGTTCTAAGCAATGAATGTAAAGTTTTTTGCTCAAGGAAACAACGGCTTGCCCCTGACAGGGATTGAGCCCACGCGATCAGCAATCCGTAGATTACTAGTTTAACACGTTAACCACTTGGCCACACTGCCACATATACATTTATTTGAGATATTTTATTATGTAATGTTATGTTAAGGCATGATTGTTAACTACTAAACTTGATGCCTACTTTGTCACTACGTTACTGATAGAAAGTCTGATCTATGGACTGTGGATTTACTTGTTTTAGTTTATACCAAGGCACGTTGATGACTTACAGCTTATCTGAGTAATGCTTATATGATTTTATCACATATCCATGCTGATTTTGTGATTCTGTAAAAATGGTATTACACGTCCGTGCGTATATTTTGACGTTATGTCATTTGCGTTATACAAACATAGTGTAAAGACATGCTATATGTTAGCGTTACACAGTAGACACATCAATGAAAATACTTTTGACTCTTTATATATAATGGTAAATGTTTTAACTATAAAAGTTCATGATAATGTTAACAAGCTAATATTGTATACAACATTGATTTTGCCTGTCACTAATCATTGATGTATTTTAATATATTTACAGAATTTGCAGAGGCACTATCTAATCCACTACAGTACCTTTCCAAGTTAGATCGTCACGAGAAACAGTTAGAGGTTCTGTTTGATGAGGAGGAAGTTGATGTAAGATTTATATTGTTACCCTTAACTTGCTGGAACCAAAAGTGATCAGCCTTTGCCACCAGTATAGAGCCAGGCCAACCTGTACATCCGTGCAGTCTGACCAGGCTCTATACTGTTGGCGGCTCAATTTTTGTATTTTGATATTAAAATACAAGTTTTTTACTCTTTTTTTAGCTCAACTGTCACAAAGTGACAGGGTGAGCTTTTGTGATCGCTTTTCGTCCGGCGTCCGTCCGGCGTCCGTCCGTCCGTCTGTAAACTTTTGCTTTAAATGACATCTCCTCATAAACCACTGAGCCAATTTCATCCAAACTTCACAGGAATGTTCCTTTGGTGGTCACCTTTAAAAATTGTTCAAAGAATTTAATTCCGTGCAGAACTCTGGTTGCCATGCCATATCTTCTTTTAAAAAACCATAAGAGCTAGAGCTTAGATATTTGGCATGAAACATCTTCTAGTGAGTGTCTACCAAGTTTGTTCAAATAAAAGCCCTGGGGTCAAAATTGGCCCCGCCCCAGGGGGGCATTGATTTTCCCTATATGCATATAGTAAAAACTTAAAAAATCTTCTTTTAAAGTACCGTAAGAGCTAGAGCTTAGATATTTGGCATGAAACATCTTCTAGTGAATGTCTACCAAGTTTGTTCAAATAAATGCCCTGGGGTCAAAATTGGCCCCGCCCCAGGGGGTCATTGATTTTCCCTATATGCATATAGTAAAAACTTAAAAAATCTTCTTTTAAAGAACCCAGAAACTAGAGCTAAGATATTAAGCATGAAACATCTTCTAGTGAGTGTCTACCAAGTTTGTTCAAATTAAAGCCCTGGGGTCACAATTGGCCCCGCCCCGGGGGTCATTGATTTTCCCTATATGCATATAGTAAAAACTTAAAAAATCTTCTTTTAAAGAACCATAAGAGCTGGAGCTTAGATATTTGGCATGAAACATCTTCTAGTGAATGTCTACCAAGTTTGTTCAAATAAAAGCCCCGGGGTCAAAATTGACCCCGCCCCAGGGGGTCATAGATTTTCCCTATATGCATATAGTAAAAACTAAAAAAATCTTCTTTTAAAGAACCCAAAGAGCTAGAGCTTAGATATTTGGCATGAAACATCTTCTAATGAGTGTCTACCAAGTTTGTTTAAATAAAAGCCCTGGGGTCAAAATTGGCCCTGCCCCAGGGGATCATTGATTTTCCCAATTTGCATATAGTAAAAACTTAAAAAATCTTCTTTTAAAGAACTCAAAGAGCTAGAGCTAAGATATTTAGCATGAAACATGTTCTAATGGGTGTCTACCAAGTATGTTCAAATAAAAGCCCTTGGGTCAAAACTGGCCCCGCCCGGTGGGTCATTGATTTTCCTTATACATGTATGTGTATAGCAAAAACTTAAAAATCTTCTTTGGAAAAACCCAAATAGCTAGAGTTTAGATATTAAGCATGAAACATCTTTAAGTAAATATCTACAAAGTTTGTTAAAATAAACGCCCGGGGGTCAAAACTGGCCCTGCCCCAGGGGTGTCATTGTTTTTAACTATATGTGTATAGTGAAAACTTTAAAAATCTTCTTTTAAAAAAGCCAATGAGCTAGAACTTAGATGTTTAGCATGAAACATCTTCTTATGGGTGTCTACCAAGTCTGTTCAAATAAACAAATAAAAGCCCTTTGGTAAAAATTGGCCCGGGGGTTGGGGTGGGCTATATACAGGTGAGCGACCTCAGGGCCATCATGGCCCTCTTGTTTTTTTAAGTTATGAATTTAAGTACAGATTAAAAGAAGATATTCTTATATATATTACCTGTTATTGTCTTAATTTACTGCTATTGTTGGTAGTTTCGAGTTTTTGTCCATAAATTTTTATGTTTTGTGCCAGAATCATTCAAAAACAATTTGTATTCAATATTTACGTAATTAATGTACATGTGTATATACAATGTTTACTAGGATGATGAGCCAGATTCTGTGATACCAGACAGTGGTAGACGGCTCTCAAACCCGTCACCCATCAAACCACGACGTAACGGCAGTCTGCCTAACGTCTTCAATAACGGTGTGAACGAAACACCGAGACTGATCCGTACCCCATCAAATCCACAGCATTCTCAACTTAGCAAGAAAGAGAGCATTATTTCCAGTATCTCTACACAAAGTGATAATTCTGGTAGGCCATGTTTGTTATATGTTTTACTGTTGATGATTTAAACAAATTTACATGTTTGTGAGTTTAATATATACTAGCAAGCATTTGTCAGCAATTTGGAGATACTGTGTACAATTTTATGTTGTTTTTTTTCTGTTTAACAGTAACTAATAATTTGCAATAATATTTTAAATGTATCTGTTTTACACTAAAACAAATTGATGTTTCAATATAGAAATGTTGTAATCTGTCAAAACTGATGTCATTAATTAAATATTTCCTACCAAGATAATAATAACTGTGTGACTTATTTTATTGAAATTTTCACAGTAGAAAGTAGAAGTATAGATTGATCTGGGGAATAAGTGAGGGGAAGTGCTAGAAGTCATTTATATTTTGTTACAACAAGTTATACTTTCAATGTATACAAGTTAATGTTATAAAGTTGTTGCTGTCCAACTGAGCTTTCTCTTTATTGCTTTCCATTTATGTCTGAAAAAGTTCTTGAACTTGGTATTAAACAAACCATGAGAAAATGAATTATTTAGTAATTACTGTACAGATTGATGTTTTTATAATAGTTGTGTTGGATGACTTTTTTGTCTGTGCATGATAACCCAACGAACATTATTATTATGTTATCCCCCGCCAATAAAATTGGAGGGGGGCTTATTGAAATGGCATTGCTTGTCCTTCTGTCAGTCTGTCTAAATCAATATCTTGGAATTGATTTCTTCCAGCTTTCTTCAACTTATTATATGAAAAGGGGAAAGGGGATCACCAAGTTTCAATAAATCCAGGAAATGATGTTTGAGTTATGACCCTTGTTACTTCAAAAAAGGCATTTTTAAAGGAAAATTACCATTTTTAGTCAAACAAGTGATGGATTAAATTTAATTTTGCATATTTAGTTCTGACCCTTAAAAGTTTAAAATTGAAAAGACATTTTTTAAGGAAGACTTTTAGGAAAATTTCATCTCAAAACTGATATACTAGATTTAAATTAGTCTTGACATGAATATGTATTTCAATTAAGGAAATAATTACCAAAATTTTATCTTTTTTAAAATATATGTAACTAAGATTTATATGTAACTGTAATATTTCAAATTTAAGTATCTTAATAGTGATTCCATTGATTGAATTTGACAATTTGAAGATTGCATGCTTTCTTTACACTTGAATCCTAATTTGTAATTATCATAGTGAATTAACATACTTTAAATGAATGACCAAATGATATTTTATATTGTCATTGATATTGTAGTGTATTTTTATTTTGAAAGGATAGCTTGACACCTTGAAATTGGTCGGGCTTTTGTTTAGTAATAAATAAATATAAAAAATTAATATTCACTTTGATATACACAATACTATGAAGTTTTCATCAAATAATTTGTATCATATTGTGGGGGGGGGTATCATTTGAACGAATTTGCTTGTTATATTGTAGTAGTTATACAGTGAGATTTCAATATTTGTACATTATTTCAACATACATACATGTCTGTTTTAGATATTTTATAATGCTATTAAGATTTACTAAAAGTTTTTTATATTTTGATTTATTAAACAGACTGTCAAATATTAAAATCTCAACTGTAGTATGATCTATCCATGCATGATTATACAAAAGTAGTTTTGACAAACATAAAGTAGGAATTTTTATTTTTGTAGAATATGACCAATGGTTGGTCATTGATGAAAATATGTTAGATTTTCATTACCAGATCAGTTTACAGAAGTATTTCTTTACACAGTGGATTTCTATAGCTGTCCCTATGAACTTCATAGCCAGTATTTTAATATATCCAACATAATTTGTTTAAACATTCTGTCAATGACGGTTAATTTGAAACAGCTGCTAGTGAGCTACATAAATATTCAATAAATCAGTTTTTTTCTAAAATTTATCCTTAAACACTAATATTTCTGGCATATTTTGTGATTCTAAAGTTGGAAAAAAGGTTTGACTTTTGAGAGACATTTTAATAAAACTTTAAACAAATTCATTTTGATTTTGTGTCCAGGTAATTATGCCTGATATAATGGACAAATGAGCACCTGAAGTCTTAATCCTCCACCAGTTTAGCTTGAAAGTCATTATGACTCTTATATGCTAGTGCATGTAAACTCAACAAAAAAATATGAGAATTACCTGTATGTAAAATTAATTGTATATCAAACCTAAAAAAATATCATTGCTATTATTTACAATGAGTGATTTGTCGACCTATTATCTATGTACAGTAATTGTTTTACCTACTTAAACATGACCTACTTACATTTTTTTTTATTTTATCTCAATTATCTCATGTACAGTATAATGTTTGACCTTCTTACTTGACCTACTTACAAATTTTTCTTTTTATCTTAATTATTTTATGAACAGTGGATTGTTTGACCTACATACTTGACCTACTTACAAATTGTTCATTGACTTATATTATGAGATGATATTTGTTTGACATATACATATCACATGTAGATAGTTCACCTAATTATTAAATTTTCATTGACCTATATTATGAGATGTTAGTTATTTGACCTATATATCACATGTAGTTTATTTGACCTATATATAAATTGTTAATTGACCTATTTTATGAGATGATGATTGTTTTGACCTATATATGAAGGTGTTGTGTGTAATGAGATGTAGTAATATTATAACTTGTCACGTTACCCAGGTATTGTTGTTTCACTAATTGTTGATTGTTGTTTGTTACCCCTACAGGAAGCATGAAAAAACTTAAAACTAGACTCAGTGGTAAGATATGCAGTGTAGTTCTCACACTTGTGTATATATTATGCTGCACCAATAACAACACATGCTTTATACAAGTAACTGCCATTTTGTTCCGAAAGACACAATCTTTTTTAAAGTTAATTTAAGCTTTCAAAATTTTACAAAGTATGCAGTTTCTGTAATCATTTTCTGAAAAGTTGCACAAATTAAAAATATAACTTTATTTTAATGTGCAAATATGGAAAATAATAAATTTTTGCCTGTTAAACTGAATGATTTAATTAGTTAAACATTGGAGAAATTATAATTGATAACACAAATGATTATTTGGCAGTTAATATGGCAGTTAGTTGTAGCACCAGACATTAACCAGGCATTCTGCTGTGAATAGTTAGTCACTTATCCAAGATTTTCCTGTATCGCTAAATAATACTGTTGTGTACCACAATATGGGATATATAACACATGCAAACCCCAATTTTATCTCTGAAAAATAAAAATGCCAATTTTAGTCACTTGTTTGATCATTTCCTACTGGTATATGACTGACATAATATTATAATTTTGCTTAACTCTTGGTAAGCTACTGAACAAAAAAAAATGTCATTAAGTTTCAGTATAAAATTGAGGTTTGCTAAAAAAGAAGGATGCACTAACACTTTATATCTCCATTTGATTTCAAATCAGGCACATAACATCTTTTTAATTATATTATTTTCAAATTTCACTAATACCAATGTAAGCCCTCAAAACTTTCTTTTTATAACACACAGTCTCTGTTTTGATACCTCCTTTATATAGACCATTGCCATAGATTTAATGTCAAGGTAACACCAGAGTTCATAGGTCAATAAAGTCAGTGAAGATATATGTTTTCTCTAAAATAGAATTCTTGTTATTGACAGTTTACAAATGGTATTTATTAGTAAGTACTAGTAATATTTCATATTACATGTTTTGTAATGAGGACATGTGTACCCAGAACATACCCTGAAGATTGTCAAAATGCTATGGTGACTAGAAAAACTTTGTACAAGCATATTTTACCAATCAACTAAACACATTCAACACTCTTAAAACACACCCACCATTTTTTTTAATGATTTCCACACTGCATATTATATTCTGTGTTGAAATCACCAAAATATGACTGGTGTAAAAACAAAGTCAAATGTCTAATAAAATGACAGTGTTTTCATAAGTAATTAGGTATGGTAGCATCCTGATGCCAAATCTTGTTGTTCAATAACAACACAGTCAAATGGTTCCAGTCTGTTGAACAAAATGGCCACCAGAGCTACCCCACATACAAATAAGCTAAAAATAGCATCCTCTCTTCAGATGCTTGTTATATTTTTATGAAACTCTTCATAAATGATCCTGAATATGTTCTTTACTAAAATTGTTCAGGTTTGGCTGCCAAAGCTAAAATGAGAAAAGTTTTTAAATAACATCTATCTTCTCAACCACTTTGAAGATTTTGATGAAAGTTTAGTAGGTGAAGATCAAAGCAATATTTCACACCATTGGTTTCCCATTATCTTATTCATTGTGAGAATTTCATCACCACCACAAGAACAACAGCATCATCATATCATTCTTAAACTTTGTTGTTATTTTACAATATTGTTTTAATATTCCATATATTTTCTTTCCGCAGTGCTTTATATTTTAGTCTGCCAATCAAAATGATAGACTAACCAGGATATAACCAGCTTACATGCTTTGATGTGTTGCTTGTTAACATTTCCTGTACAGCTGTGCCTTCCTTATTGTGTACATTTATGATATACTTTTATCTTATAATTGAAGATTATTTCAAATTAAGGTTTTGGGTCTTTTTGGTCATTTTAGAAAAGAAATAAACAAAGTTGAAAATAAGAAAGATGTGCTTGGTTTTTCAAAGCTTTAGAAAAATGTAGTACGCTTTCTGACTGAACAATGGAAATGTTAAGTTTATGAACATAAATAGATTTACAATTCATTTATGGAGTATTATATGTATTATATATACAGAATAAGGCAGGCACAGCTAGTGTATATGCACAAGTTATAACAACATCGTAACTCATGGCTTTTCGTACTTTTGTAATCCTTGTTTATTTATTTCCCTTATTACCATGGTAACACAAAAATGTGTGTAAAATAATAGCTACAATACAACAAGTTGTGCTAATATCTGTGTACAGGTGTATCTGGTGTTTTATCTGGGGTACCTCGGATGCCGTCCAATGAAAATGTGGTGATGGGTATGTCTATAGTTTCTACAACTAAACTCAATGGTAAGATAACACTTGTGTTGTGTACAAAATATGTTGTCTGCACATGTTAACATGTATGCATGAAATGTTCTTCTTTTTGTACAGAATGATCTCTTTGTTATCACTTTAAGATGTTTTATTTTCTCAGTGTAACTTTCAAGCCAAGATGGTTGTTCACTCTTGGAGAACTTGAGGGGTTAATTCAACAGTCAAGCACTTGAGTAGATGATGTAACAAGTTGACCACTTTAGGGGATAATGTCAAAAGTTTAGCTTTTAAGGGAATAAGAATCAAGTTTTACTCTTGAGGGGATAACTTAAGCACTTAACTGGATAATTTTACAAGTTTAGTACTTGAGGGGATAATTTTTTCAGTTTAGCACTGGGGATTATTTTACAAGTTTAGCATTTGAAGGGGTAATTTTACAAGTTTAGCACTTGAGGGGATAATATTAAAAGTTTATCACTACAGGGGATAATTTTACAAGTTAAGCTCTTGAGGGGGTCATTTTACAACTTAAGCTCTTGAGGGGATAATTTTACAAGTTAAGCTCTTGAGGGTGTGATTTTACAAGTTAAGCACTTGAGGGGGTAATTTTTACAAGTTTAGCACTAAAGGGGATAATTTTACAAGTTTAACACTAAAGGGGATAATTTTACAAGTTTAACACTAAAGGGGGTAGTTTTTACAAGTTTAACACTAAAGGGGATAATTTTACAAGTTTAGCACTAAAGGGGATAATTTTACAAGTTTAACACTAAAGGGGATAATTTTACAAGTTTAACACTAAAGGGGATAATTTTACAAGTTAAGCACTTGAGGGGATAATTTTACAAGTTAAGCACTTGAAGATGTTACATGTATTTGAACAGCTGAGTATTTGAGGAGATATACAGCAGATACAGATTGATCAGTCTGTCCAATATGTTGACTTGTTAGAGATATGAGTTCAAAAAAGCAAAATAGTTTTTGTAATAAAATCTTTTCTTTCATTATAACTAGATATAAGTAATGAGTTGTTATAATCTTGGTAAGGCTGCATTCCCCTTTAATAGTATGATAAAATATCAAAAGTAGCAATATTTCTATAATTGATTTTACTTTTATTACTGTTTCATTCATATGAAAATCCTGAGTTTTGATTTATTTAAACATTTTAAGTTGATATGATTTTGCTTGTTAATATAACTGTTTTATTTTCAAGTTATACAAGTTTTGTGCTGGTAGTTGTTTATGTTTTAGGATTTGGCAGCATGATGTGTTATCTTCAATAATTTTAAAATAATTAATTTGATTTCCAAGGATGTAGGAATGTGTTAAATGCATGCTTGTGTATTAAGGTAGAGAAGAAGCTAAATATTGTTGTCACATGTGAAAGATGATGGTAAATATAAATATACATTAAAACTTTATCCATCTGATTTGTGTGCCTGATAATGTTTGTGTATCTAAGGTGTATTTCAGGTGTATCTTAGGTGCATCTCAGGTGTATCTAAGGGGTATATGAAGTGTATTTTAGGTGTATTTCAGGTGTATCTAAATTGTATAATGAGATATGATCATCATACAGATTGATTCTTATTTCAATAACTGAGTTATAGCCCCTGAACTTTTCAGCATTATATTGTTGAGATATAAAGTTTAGGTTTTTGGATTCCTACTGTCAAAATAACTAACTCTTTAAGTTGACAATGAGCTGCATGGGAAGTGGTTTTTATAAATTGGATAAAAGTGTAAAAATATACACAATATTTTGTTTTTATGCCCCCGCCATGTAATGGCCGGGGCATATAGTGTTACCCTGTTCCGTCATTCCGTCCTTCCGTCCTTCCATCCTTCCGTCATTCTGTCATTCCGTCATCATCAGTTTCCGTTCATTATCTTAAGAACAGTTGCACACATTCAACTCAAATTTGACATATGGATAAATCATGAGAAAATACAGGTCAAGTTCGAATTTGGTCATGGTTCGATGATTTTTGGCAGAGTTATGCCCCTTTTACTTTGAAAATAATATGAAATATCAGTTTCCGTTCATTATCTCCCCAACGGTACAACACATTCAACTCAAACTTGACATATGGATATGTCATGAGAAAATACAGGTCAAGTTCGAATTTGGTCATGGTTTGATGATTTTTGGCAGAGTTATGCCCCTTTTACTTTGAAAATAATATGAAATTTTCAGTTTCCGTTCATTATCTCCCCAACGGTACAACACATTCAACTTAAACTTGACATATGGATATGTCATGAGAAAAAACAGGTCAAGTTTGAATTTGGTCATGGTTCGATGATTTTTGGCAGAGTTATGCCCCTTTTACTTTGAAAATAATATGAAATTTTCAGTTTCCGTTCATTATCTCCCCAACGGTACAACACATTCAACTCAAACTTGACAATGGATATGTCATGAGAAAATACAAGTCAATTTTAAATTTGGTCATGGTTTGATGATTTTTGGCAGAGTTATGCCCCTTTTACTTTGAAAATAAAATGAAATTTTCATTTTCTTTTCAAATTCTCCCCAACGGTACAACACATTCAACTCAAACTTGACATATGGATATGTCATGAGAAAATACAGGTCAAGTTCGAATTTGGTCATGGTTTGATGATTTTTGGCAGATGTATGCCCCTTTTACTTTGAAAATAATATGAAATTTTCAGTTTCCGTTCATTATCTCCCCAAAGGTACAACACATTCAACTCAAACTTGACATACGGATGAGTCAAAGGAATTGGCAGGTCAAGTTCGAATTTGGTCATGGTTTGATGATTTTTGGCAGATGTATGCCCCTTTTACTTTGAAAATAATATGAAATTTTCAGTTTCCGTTCATTATCTCCCCAACGGTACAACACATTCAACTCAAACTTGACAATGGATATGTCATGAGAAAATACAAGTCAATTTTAAATTTGGTCATGGTTTGATGATTTTTGGCAGAGTTATGCCCCTTTTACTTTGAAAATAAAATGAAATTTTCATTTTCTTTTCAAATTCTCCCCAACGGTACAACACATTCAACTCAAACTTGACATATGGATATGTCATGATAAAATACAGGTCAAGTTCAAATTTGGTCATGGTTCAATGATTTTTGGCAGACTAATGCCCCTTTCACTTTGAAAATAATATGAAATTTACAGTTTCTGTTCATTATCTACCCAACAGTGTTACATATTCAACTTAAATTTGACATATAGATATGTCAAAGGAATGGGCAGGTCAAGTTGGAATTTGGTCATGGTTTGATGATTTTTTGGCAGAGTTATGTCCCTTTCACTTTGAAAATAATATAGATACATCTTAGGAATAAGCAGTTTAAGTTTGAATTTGGTTGTGGTTCAATGATTTTAGACAAACTTATCTTTCCTGAATGTAGGAAAAATTTTGAACTTTCAGTTTCAGCACTCATACTTTTAGCCATTATTTTGGCTACAAATATGCAATATGCTATTTTTAAAAGGTTAAGACTGAATAATTTCAGTGCCTTGAACAGTGTATGAAAATGGTTTGTGTTAACATTGAAAAGTTTTAAGGGCTTTGAACTTAAAATGAAAAAAAAAATAAATGCACCATCTGAAATTTTGGCTGCATGCGGGGGCATCCGTGGCATGATGACACATTTCTAGTTTTATCATCCTTCAAGTTATCAGTGCATTTGAGATAACTTAGATCATTTTATGTTTTTTAAAATCAATTAATATTGTTAATTATCGTTAATTAGGCAAACTTTAATGAGACAATCTTAGAATCAGAACAATCAAGAATAATTAATTTCACGTATTTCACAGTACATGAATAAATTTTAGACAAACATAAGCTGTATGTCCATGATTTATTAAAGGAGGACGCAGCTATTACTTTGAAAGTGTGGCAAGATATTGAATTTATCAAGGATGAAAATATATTTTGTAATATTATGTTGATAATTATAATTTGATGTCTGGGAAAACTGTTAAATAAGTTTTTGACCTTAATGTAGAATCTATAATTGCATACAGAGTACTTAATGTGAATAAACTTTCATGGTATGATATTTTATATATGCCACAGTGCAAAGGCTGTTCATTGTTTGATATAAGAAGCCTGTATTAATGTTAAATATAATATTTCAGAGCCAAGTTTACTGATCCCCACCCCTCTACCAGAACTGAAGAAAGAGAAAACCTACTTTAAGATGTTAGTGAAGAGAGACAAGGATCTGGAGATGCTGAAGAAGAAAAATGAAAAGGTAATAATGACTGAATGTTCAATCTAGTCATGTTGCTTAGATACTGATGTAAAAATGTAGTTATATGGGAGAAGGGAATGGGGGAAGGATGAGGAGCCAAGTGGGAGGAGGGTGGGGAGGTTGGGGTAAGAAGAAGGCTGATATGTGAATTTAGAATGAAATATTATATGATTTATAAAATATTATTATTTATTATTTGTTATGGATATAAGTTTTGTTAAATTGATAATTCTTAGATACAAAAAAATAAGTTTTGTATGATATAGGAAGTTTTGTATGATATAGGAAGTTTTGTATGATACAGGCTCAAGAGAACATGAGAGAACTGCATGCTATAGAAGAGGAGAAGTTGTTATGTTGTCAAGCAAAGGAGAGAGCTAATTTAGAGAAAACTCATGCTAAAGCATTGAAGAAAGGTAGTAAAACAAGTCCACCTGAACAAATACAGAGACAAAATGCAGAGGAACTAACTAAACTACAAATAGAACACGAGGAAAAGGTAAAAACGTCAGTAATTTGTCCTGTAGCATCACACTGTCATACACTTGGAAGTGTTTTACGTAAGAAACACTAGAAAGCTATAGGTTAAAAGACATATAAACCTTGCCACTTTGCTAAAAATTGTCCCTGTCTTTGGGATCATTATTTGAAACAGAGTTTTATAGTAAAACACATTAAGATCTAGTGGCAAACTACAACATAGCATGTCATAAGCAGACATCTACAAACATTTTATAAATCATGCAGTTGCTCACAAAAATGACACACTAATGTATTGAAGAAATTTGACCTTTCCTGACAATGCATCTCGGATGAGCTATCAAGGGTCATGATGGCCCTCTTGTTTAGACACATGACTTGCATGTAGTTTATAAATTTGAATAATATTTTACTGTTTTATTTACATAATTTACAGTTGAAAGTGTTACGTCAGTCACATGCTGAAACGTTTGTGGCAATGTGCAAGTCCCACTTTCAGTCTGACCTTGATGTAAACATGAAACATAGTGACCCGATCTACGAGGCTCTCAGAAAAGTAATGGACCAAAACCATAAAGAACATGAACAAAGACTCAAGGTATTCATTTACTTTACAAGAAACTTATTATTAACAGGTGTTGTATAAATCTTCATTAAAAAATTAAATATTATTAAAATATTGATGCTTCAGTTCTGAAAAGATTATATTTGAATATTTTTAACAGACATTTCCATCGCTTATAATATTCATTATCATATCCATAACTCCACTGGCCACTTCCAAAAATAAATAAAGAGGAAAAGAATGTGTACTCATTTATTTAGTTCTCCAGTTGTTTGTTTTTTTTCGTCATGTAGGAACAGTAAATTTCTATTTGTTATCTGACCAGTAAATTTACTTATATATAATATGAACAGTTAAGCTATATGTGAAGCTACTTATGTTATATGACCAGTAAAGCTACTTATGTTATATGACCAGTAAAGCTACTTATTTTATATGACCAGTAAAGTTACTTATGTTATATGACCAGTAAAGTTACTTATGTTATATGACCAGTAAAGTTACTTATGTTATATGACCAGTAAAGTTACTTATGTTATATGACCAGTAAAGTTACTTATGTTATATGACCAGTAAAGTTACTTATGTTATATGATCAGTAAAGCTTCTTATGTTATATGACCAGTTAAGTTACTTATGTTATATGACCAGTAAAGTTACTGTTGTTATATGACCAGTAAAGTTACTTATGTTATATGACCAGTAAAGTTACTTATGTTATCTGACCAGTAAAGTTACTGTTGTTATATGATCAGTAAAGCTACTTATGTTATGTGACCAGTAAAGTTACTTATTTTATATGACCAGTAAAGTTACTTTTGTTATATGACCAGTAAAGTTACTTATGATATATGACCAGTAAAGTTACTTATGTTATATGACCAGTAAAGTTACTTATGTTATATGATCAGTAAATCTACTTATGTTATATGACCAGTTTAGTTACTTATGTTATTTGATCATTAAAGCTACTTATGTTATATGACCAGTAAAACTTCTTATGTTATATGACCAGGTAATACATGACCAGGAAGTGAAAGATCTGACCAAAAGAATGGATGCTCAAACCAAAGAAGAAATGAGAAATCTACAAAAGAAGCACAGAGACAAACAAGCATTTAATAGGTATATAATTGATTTCATAAATTGAGACTTAAATAATCATTCTAAAGCTCGATTTCTGAAATTAACCTTTCAGGAAATATAGTTCAGACTCCATCATTTAATTTTGAAATAACACAAATTAATTGTCTATACATATGTATATGTATATACATGTATATGCAAGCTTTTTTGCATGTAAAATGTGTTTTTAGCACAGTCATTTAGCATGTGATCATTGAATTATTCCAAAAGATGTGTTGGTAGACATCTTATTTAGTTAACAAACCTTATTTATCCACTTAATAAAGTTCACATTTTATCTCACAATTTTAAATTTTTTTGTTTCTTTTTTAAGATTAAAAAGAGAAAACCAGAAGAAGCATATAGATACTGTAGTCAATGAAAGACAAAAGGTAGGTGTAGTCATAATCATGACCAGATATAATTATTACCCATTATGTTAAATTGATATCACTTTATTAGTCCCCTACCGGTTTAACCGGAGGGGACTTTAGGTTTACCCTCCGTCCGTCTGTCTGTCCGTCCGTCTGTCTGTCTGTCAGTCCGTCCGTCCACAAAACTGGATCCCACGATAACGCAAAAAGTACTGAAAATATTTTTATGAAACTTGATATATGGATAGATGGCAGTATGGAGATTATGCACGTCTTTTTCTTTTCTTCCTATGTTGAAAATTCTGGTTGCTATGGCAACAAATAGTCTGAAAATATGGCAAATTTAACACATAAACTGGATCCAGTGATAACTCAAAAAGCATTGAAAATATTTTTATGAAACATAAAATATGGGTAGATGGCAGTCTGCAGATTATGCACATCTTTTTCTTTTCTTCCTATGTTGAAAATTCTGGTTGCTATGGCAACAAATAGCCTGGATTTCAAGATTTCTGATTTAATTTTTTCAGCTTTTTCACTATAAGTTCTTTATTTCTTAAGGTGTTTACTTCAAACTTTTAATATAAGTTTCTGGTCATCAACCACATCATATGTGACAAGGTTTACAACTCTAGCACAAAAATTATCAGTATTACCTCCCTTGAACTTAGAATTTTTATGGAAAAAAAATGTTGTCTTTTTTTAATAACTTCTTTATTTCCTAATGTATCTACTTCAAACTTCATATATATGTTTCTTACTATCACTCAACATTTTTGTGAAGGTTAAATACTCTAGCAAGACTATTTCCAGAATTATGTCCCCTTTGAACTTGGGTTTTTTTCGAGAAATTGGTATTTTTTACTCCAACTTCTTCATTCCTTATAGGATTTACTTTAAAATCCCACATCGTAATAATATGACAAGGTTGTATATACATAATTTCCTTACTAGGCAGGGAAACTTAACACATTACTGTGAAATAGACAAACTTAGAACTCAAAAGATTTAAGTTCATTCATGTCATTCATTCACTGGTAAAATTGAAATCAGAATGTTGCTGGGGTTCTAACCGGTAGGGGACTTATGGATTGCTTGCAATACTATGATAATTGCTTGTTCTTTGTTAAATAAGGTTTAGTTTTGTTGACACCTGTGAAAAGTATTTTGAAATGAATTATAAAATTCTGGATCAACATTAAATCTGGGATCAACATAAACTCAATATTAAATCCTGATCAAAATATTTGCTTAAAACTTCAGAGTTGGAGATATCTTATTGATGGCTTTCATGCACAAGAATGATAACTTTGCCTTTCATAATTTTTGAGTCATTGCCCTTTGAACTTGAAACTTAGTAGGTGGATATATTTCATTAAAAAAGAGTACAGTGTAAAAGAATGATGATTTTACTATTCATTATTTTGGTTATAAATTTATTTCAGTTAAAAGAAATACTAGATCTCCGGCTAGATGAATTAAGGAAGAAGTTAGATATAGTTAAAGAGGATCTGGAGAGAGACAAATTTACTGTAAGTTTTAACTTTTACCTGACACACAAACAGTTACTATTATACTGTAGCCTTGTAGTGTGATACATGTAATTCTGAAATTTATTGGTCCCAGCTTTATAGCTGGTATTTAATGAAACAATCGGTTTTGTAAAAACATAATGTGTATATTTTTCTTTAACAATTTTTTTTAAATATACTAAGTTGAATAAATTATATTCTCTATTAGTTCATGCATAAAGACTTGTTTGGTGAAGAAAATTTTTGGGCATTGAAATGTAGTTGTAATTATTTTGTAACTTTATTCTACAGGTAGAGAAGCAGTTTAGTGACCAGTTTAGTGAGAAGTGCGCCAAAGTTCGGGAACAGCATCGTCATTTATTAGAAATGGACAATACTTCTAACTCTAATTCCCATCATACTACCGCCGATGGTAATGAGGAACACTACATCAAAACACAATTATAGCATTCATTTATGTTACCATAGCAACACTTGCAACCTCGACAACAATGCGGCAACACAATGGTTGTCATAGAAACATTAGAATATGCATGAAAAACAAAAGAGAGTACACGTCTACCAAGGTGAAGGTTGTTCTAGAAATATTTGTTTGGGTTTTATTTTTTTTTTAATTATGACTTTTTGTTATAATTATGGCATGATTTTATGATGATTGTGAGGTGTTTCTACACTACTTTGTAAAATATCATAATTTTTTATTTTTTTTTGCAATTTTATGTTCTTTTTCTCAGGTTTTTGTTCAGAAGTGATCATTCTTTAACATTAAAGATTTATATACTGCAATCTTTAAAGATATTACTTTCCTTGTTGGTCTCAGAAATTTGTCAGATTACAATTAAATATATGACCTTGAAGATTTATGCACATTTTCTAGGGGATTTTTTTCTTATTTTTCTATTTGTACTGTGGAATAGTTTTTTATTTACAATAGTTTGATGAATTATTGATAGGAAGGTTTATGTATATGTTTATATGCACAACTGTATGCAGATTAGGTTAAGATTGAGGTAAAACATCAATTAAATTACCAGTTGGTTAAAACATTCCTATACTGGGCTGTTTCCATTACATGGCTAACAATTTTCTATTAATATTTCATAAAATATCTTATAGTATTTTGTTGATATTTCACAAAATATCTAACAGTTTTCTGTGTAGGGATAGTCGCAATATTGTTACAGTTTGCCTCACAATTCTTTATTGACTCCTTCTTCCAGCATTATAAGCAATATATCACATGTTTATTGTGTTATTGTTAGTGACATTACTTCATAATGTTGATATTTTATTTCTCTAAGTATAAAACCCCCCAAACAAAACCTTATATATGTTCATTTATATAATGGTAGTTAGTTGTTTTAGGGAAGTAACATCTGATATCAATTTTTTTTATTCACTGTATACAGCTTTGTCTATAATACATCTTTAGTTTTCATGTTCAGATTTTCCAATGTTTCCAAGTTTGACATTCCATTTAATGGAGATTAGTAAAATATTTGTTTATATACTACCGTAATTGTGTAATAAACATTGATATTTGGGTAGTTCATGTAATTAGCTGCAAACTGTGTCTGTATTAATTCATGAAATTCAAAGAAGAAACTGTTAATTTACAGAACTTGTCATATGTAAAATATTTTTCTTGCAAACCACTGTCAACCATGCTAGTAAAAAATGTCTGCGGAAGAAAGACCCTCGTTTAAAGGAAGTTCTTTATACAGGTCAGTTTGAATAGTGAATACTGAAATAGAAAAGTTGTAGCAATTAAAACATGATTGAAATAGTTGTTTTGTGTGAGGACACATTTAAATGTAACACTTATAATTTTCTTCATCTATGCAGATTTATAATTCTCAAGAATGAGTTTTTTGTCAAGGGAATAATTTGCTTAATGTGAAAGAAAGCTGTTATTCTAGGGAAAAGTTTGTATGTAAAGTCTATGCACAAACCTTAATGTTAAAAGAATACAGGGTTATTAATTCATGAAATAAGGGCATTTTGTTAAATGTTTTGTAATAACCATCTTAATGAAGTATTTATCTTTCATGTACATCATTTTAAACATTTCTAAACTTGCCAGTACTAGTACAATGATATATACCATCTGTTTTTACAAGTTTTAATTTATTCTAGAAAATTTAGAAAAGTTGCTGTGTTAAATTTAGATATTCCTGTAAGATTTCAGTCTACGTCCATTCCAGTAATAGCTACAATTCCTGTAACACGTTTGTATTTATTGTCTGTAGAAATAGGCTCAAAATTATTTGTTTCCTTTTAGTTTAAGATAAGATTTCTTGAATAAATTGTTGTGTCCGAACTACAAAATAAAAGGAATCGTATTAGTTCCTGTCATAGTTTGTTGATGATAATTCAGGTTTTAATTACTCAGAATGTAGACGATCTTAAAAGTGTATACTGAGTTACTGATTTTGACAAGAAAAATAAAATTCCAGTTTATTATCTTTGACCTTTGGTCAGCATATTTCTTTAACCCTGTTGTTAGTTGAAAATAATTGGGAAATAAAAAACAGATTTAATACAATTTCTACATGTGTAGTGTATTGATTTTCTACATGTGTATTGTATTGAGTATATGTATTTAAATGTTATTTGTACATGTGTAGTGTATTGAAGTTTAACATGTGTAGTATATTGTACATGAGACTATTAAATATGTAGATTTTTTCAATGAAACATATTTATGTTAATTGTATGTGTAAGATTTATTGACAGTAATAACATCGTATGTTTTCAGCTGTTTATTGTTTTACATACAGAATGTGACGCCTGTTTTATTGTGTTGTAAACTGTACATGGAAGTGTGCGTAAAATTGCCCAGTCATGGCACGTCTATGTTGTCATTACAAATCAGAGTTATTTGTTGTTCTATATAGAATTAAACAAGATTATTTTTGCCCTTGCTTTCCTTTATCATATCTTTACATTTATATATTTTATCATAAATATGCTGAAATGAACATTAACAAACTTTGAATTTGATGATGAAATAAAGTTAGGAAAACATTTATATACAAACTCTGAGACTAAAATGTTGTGCAAACTTATATCACATATCTAGATTGATTTCTTTAGAACTTTTTGTGAAAAAAGGAAAATAAAATATAGTTATAACTAAGATATCACAGTAATACAGGTAGTTTTATCAACTTTTGATAAACTGCTACATGTGAAGGTCATGTCATTTTTTGGACAACTCATGTTTCTTTAGAACTAGCTATTTGACCATTCTATCATGCCATCATATCATCATGTTATAGTTATAATATCATCATATCTCATATATTTGTTATATATGACAATACTTGCAAGTCTTTCACTAGTGTGTTTCTATCAGGTAAAGATATCCTATCATTTAATGTTTCATCATCAAACATTTAGCGACACATTTTTTCTATGATTCAGAATCGTTTTTCTTTTGTGAGAAGTAAGATAAAGATTTGATATTAGACTTTACATGCCAAAATAACAATTTGTTTGAATTTCTGATGTAATAAAGCTCCATTTTGTTACTACAGGTTAGATGTTCCATTTATTTATGGACTTAAGGTCGCGTTTCTTGTTAATTTGATTGAATTGTAGATATTGTTTCATGTAGGTATTTCTTGTAGTATGTAACAAACAATGTGTTTGCTTAAATTAGTCGCTAAAGCACTATTGTAACACATTACAGCATGTACAGATTATGCTAGCCCGTAACCTTCTATATTTCTATAATTGATTTGTCCAGGTTTAAATTTGAAACAGTCCATTCAAAGTTCAAGGGATTTCAATATCAAAATACAAAAATTGAGCTACCAACAGTATAGAGCCTGGTTAGACTGTATGGATGTTCAGGCTTGCCTGGCTCTATACTGGTGGCAAAGGCTGATCACTTGGTTCCTGCAGGTGAAGGGCTAGAATAAAGGTAAATCTAGAAATTCACAAAATGTGCGAGTATTACTGTAGAACTTGACTAGATTTGATAGTAGCATGTATTTATATAAATTATTTATTTGAAGTAATTTGGTTAAAGTGCTAAATGTTGTTACAACATTACATATAGGATTTTAAGGTAGATTTTATGACATCATTGTTGTGTTTACATTTAGCAAGAAAATTGTCAGTACCCTGAAGTGTTCATTCTTGTCTATATAGTTATGTTGAATCATTAACCATCATAATACTGTCATATCTTAATAAACTTACACTAATAGTTACTATTATCTGCATCTCAATCCTTGATTACTTACTATTCAGCTACAGTATGAGCGTAGTGCAACTTCCTATTACAGATAGGCCTAATATGTCCAGACATTTGACATGTTACAAGGGAGGTTTTGGTTACAGATTGGCCCATTCTGTCGGGACATTTAATGTGTTATGAGTGAGTTTTTGGTTAAAGATTGGCCAGTTATGTCTGTGGACATTTGAAATGTTACAATACAAGGGGGTACTATTTACAGATAGGCCTATTATGTCCGTACATTTGATATGTCACGTTACAAGGGGACATGAGTTCTGATTACAGATAGGCCTACTATGTCTGGACATTTGAAATGTTACAATACAAGGGGACAGGAGTTCTGATTACAGATAGGTCCGTTATGTCCGGACATTTGATATGTTACATTGGTATTGTCATGTTGTTTTTTACCATGTAAATATGTTCATTGATCTACAGTTCAAATTTATCTTTTTTTTTCATCAGATATTCTTTATTTTATGTTCATTTTTTTGTTTACATTTCCTTTTGCTTTATATCTGTAAGACATTGAAAATGCCAGCTATGGATCTCTGTTTATATATTAAATCTGTGACAAGATAATGTAATATTAATGTCTCTTTATTTATCTCCTTGTCATATTATATTTTACATTTCTTTGAGGTTTCTTTTTAGGAATTTGACAAACAGGAGTGGGCTGAAATATGTATCTAATCATATACCAATGATTGAAGTTATTATTTTAATGTAGTTAGCTAGGCATATCGAAATTATTATTAATATACATGTGGTTACCATGACAACTTGCAACATAAAGAAATACAAGTTTTATATTGTAGTCACTGATTATCTCCCTTGTTTAGATCTCCTTGTTATATACAACAGAACAAAATATTTATTTGAAGACTTCAGCTATACATGTCATACATGACTTACATTACTGTTTATACATCACAGAAACAAACAATTAGAAAAATAAAGAAACATACCAGGTGTTATAGAACATGCTTAGTTCATAGTAAAAGAGGAGAAGAGTCACTTCTCACCTGAAGTATTTTAAATACACATGTCATGTTTTCTTTGTATGATTTCAGAAAAAAGAGAAGAAAATAATTATATTATCTGTTTATTTGCAGGATGATTTACTTTTGTACAGTTGTTTTTTTCCCTTTCTTTTGTTTTCCATATATTTTATAAATTATAATTGTTATAGCCAGAAAATATCTGTCAAAACCATCATACATCATGTATATTTATTGCAGCATTTTTTCCTTTCTTTTTTTTCTCTTTTTTTGTTTTGTTACATTTTAGTTTATATTTTTTGTTATTTGTTTATAATTTTATTTCAATTTATTAGCAACACACATATAAACACACACACATATATATGTAATCATTTATTTGAAAACGAGTTATATTAATTTTGAGGTGGAATAAAAATATGTTACATATTATATACTTTATTTACTGTATCATTTTTGTTATATTGTTTGATTATATTACATATAAACAGATCCCTGTATCACTTATAATGTTCTAATTTTACTGATACTTTCTTTGTTACTGATTTCTTTTAGTTTTGCTTTAAAGGATATTTATATTATTTTGCTGTTAAGTTTGTTGACGACTGGTGCATTTATAACTTTACCAACACAAGTTGGAAATTTTAATTTAATTCCAATCAGTGAACTATTTGGTATATGTGACTTACAGAAACCTTGTCTGATAAAAAAAACCAGAATCCCTAAAGAAAGTCCAAAATGGCAAAATTGAAAATGTTGCAGGCTAGGTTTGATTGAGGTTGTTCGGGACTGGTAATTGTAAGCAACTGTTCACATTCTCTAGAATATTATCTTAAGAAAATTGGGACAGTTTCATTTTTAACAGTCTGGTGATATTCTATATGAACTTGTGCAATGATAGTTGCTAGTATGTTTCTTTTCGTTTAACTAATGGCATTTTTTCAAAAGCCAAACAGTATTTAAATGATTGAGCCATTAGGAATTTCTTCCAAGAAAATACAAAACTGTTCAGGCACAAACCTGTTTCCTACTGACACCCATGCCAGTGAAGTTTCATACTGCACCATATGTTACAATAATAAGGTGTGCTAAAATGAAAATGTAAAATTTACCCTTTTTTTCATGTATATGTTATTGACATTTTGATTTCTCCAGCAGCAGTTGGCAGAACAGTTTCACTGAGAAATTAGTCAAATTTAATAAAAACAGAAGACTAACTGTACTGTATGTTTGTCATATGCCAACATGTGATGAGAATAGTATATCTGTAAAAGATACATTTTACTGTTAAAGCTTGACAATTATATATTAGAAAATCCATGAAAATTGTTCCTTAATTCCAGTAACTGTTATTTACCAGGGGTAAAATCTAACAAAAGCAATTTTTGTTGACTGTTTTTTTGTGTTATCATATTTTTTACAATAAGGAGTTTGTTTTGTTGTCTTGTTGATGTTTTTGAGTATTAAATTTTCATATTATTAATTTTTTGTTGTTAGATTTTTTTCAATGATATATATTATATGCATTTATCAAATTAAAACCTATACCTGCTGACTTTGTGAAAGGGATTTGCCCTGCTTTGAATGTGGAACAGTCCATTTGAAGGCTTGAGGGATTTCCCCTGCTTTAAATTTAGAACAGTCCATTTAAAGGTTTAAGGGATTTGCCCTGCTTTAAATTTGGAACAGTCCATTTAAAGGTTTAAGGGATTTCCCCTGCTTTAAATTTAGAACAGTCCATTTAAAGGTTTAAGGGATTTCCCCTGCTTTAAATTTAGAACAGTCCATTTGAAGTTTAAGGGATTTCGATATTATTATATATAATCAGTTCAATAAAAACAAACGCTTTTCTTAAGCTTTCGACGTTTAGTCTTCTTCAGAAAAATTGACGTTTATAAAATAACAAATGACAAATGACGCAACGTCCGTTTAACTATACGCTAAACCGAACGTGACGTTAACGCGGGAATAAAAACTTTGTCAAATAAATTATACAAATATAAAACATCCAAGATTAATAAAACAATGCAGGCTGGCCGATGACAAATGCCTAAAAAGTTTTTGTTGCAGTAGATTAAGAATTTTAATATTATACTATATTACATTTTTTATATGTCAAATATTTAACTAAACATTAACTCTCTTAACTTCTCTTAAATAAATAGTAATTCTTTTTCTTAGTAAATGGTTTTTGCTCATAATTAAGAGCGTCATTTAAAAACATAAAATGGTCAGATATATTATTCACTATAATTAAAGTATTGGTCACCATGGTAACCAAATGTTATAATTTTGACTGATTGATTGACAACAGGTTTTGTTCACTAGCTGTTCAGTTGTGTTTAGGTCATACATATTGAATCATGGTCAAATCTTTTCCTCTACCCTTGTTCATATTGTGATAATTTGTACAGATTGAAGATTTTATGTACATGTACTATATTTCTCAGTGTACATATAACTGTTATGTGTATATAGGCTCATTTTCAAGTAGATATTGTTTTTGCATACAGTTTATAACTATGTCATGATACCATTTATAGAAAATACCAGAAACCTACTGTTATAATAATGTTTACCAGTGTAATGCTATCACCAGTCAAATTTACCTTTTACTTCAAGCTCATTACAATATTTTACTGACATGAATTGTATCTATTACAAGATTAAACTGGTTTCAGTGTACGTTTTTTACAAGAAGTTAAAAACCATAAGCTAAAAAAAAATACCATACAATAGCAGTAT